ATATTTCCGGAATTCCATGCCGACTTGCATTTATAGTAAAACATTCTTATATTGTTAAATTTTATAGTGTCTTTTAATTGGTCAGAAAGTGACATACATATGGTGTTAATAAAGTCTCAACAATGCATTACAATAGAAAGTCTGTGTAACGTGTGAAAGAGGCTTTATGAAAACCATGCAATGTGGAATGTCTATTACAGTATATGCGGATACTTACTCTTCTATTTTGGAAACGTGAGAATTCTTTGACCAAAACAGTTTTAAGTAGATCTCCATCAGCAATAACTAAATTAGGAGTGCTCCCATCAAATAAGCTGCAAATATAGTGTTGGATAGATCACCCGTGTCATCAGTGTGAACAACTGTTTGAAGCCATGATGAATGTGAGGACAAAGCCCAGAAAAATTGTATTGTATTGATACACCGCTATTTAAAACAACATTTTTTGTATATTCCTTAGGCACTAAGTAAGTAAAATAGCGCATAAACCATTTAATTGTTGAGATCTTGAAAGTTGCAAAACCATGTTGAGTTTTTGAAAATTCAGGGTGTTCTCGCTGCTATTAGGGTTATCTCACATTATTAGTTATTACAGTTTAATATCAGTAAAATGTTTAAAGATTATCATTATACATCACTAACTAATAGCAGTCAGAATCTCTTCTTAGCTTGCACAAATGTTGATGTTTTCCATTTTGGTGACTTACCCATATACTTTGTCTTTCTTATAGCGTTCATACAACGTCACATCTCCCTCTATTACACCCTGGAAAATATATAATTGTTGTATTGCAGGTTCAAGCATAAACGATTAAAATGGGAAGATCAAAAATTGTCAGAAGCACGATTAAAAAGTTCTAAGTTGGTAATAAAGGAACAAGTATTATCACAATAACAAAATTGCAGGGCATTTCATTCATATTGCAGGTAAAAAAACAATACTCTAAAATCAAAAATAGTTGCGGATGCTCCATCTGCAAAACTGCTAAATAGCGTTACCTTAGATATTGCCAGCCAAATTGTGCCAATTATCGGAAATGGAGTAGGTCCTTTAATACCTTGCGCTGACCAATAGCCAAAGTTCCATGTAAGGTATCTTAAACAAACATTTATACACTACATTATATAGCATTTTAAAAAGAAAAGGTTGCGGTGATTAGACAAAAGCAACAAAATGTTGACATTCCACATCTTGGTAATATAATGTATTAAGTTATTTCTAAATAAGGATTGAGCCCGGGGATTGAGGCTCCATTTGTTATGTCACCCTGTAGTGTTGTAATTATATCAAACCAAATAATATTAATGATTAACTTACATGTAGAGCGCGATTAATACACCTACTATGATCAATAGTGTATCTGAAACCTCTACTAGCCCAAGGATATTCATCTAATTGGCTCTGGAGATGTGAGACACGAGCAACGATAACCAACTGCAAAGAGAATTATGTTCTACTCGGGGTGATCAATAAGTAATGGACGCATTTTTACACGAACACTTTTTATAGACCAATCTTTTTGTTTTTTTTACCAGTGATACATCATTTAATTATCTATCAAATCTGAAAATTTGAAAACAAAACATGTAATACATGTTGATATATCTTTATTTCCGTGAAGGGGGTACAGGTACCCTGGGACCGACATTTACGTCACATATTCTGAAGTTTATTTTTAGTGAATTTTGCATATTTCAGTTTGAACTTTTGATTTTTTGGATTTGAACTTTTTGATATGCCACAAGTGTTGTGTTGTTTGAAATATTATGCTGCCTGGTAACATATAAAAGGTAATGTTAATGGTCATGCAGGGTTTGGATTTCACTAAAGCATTGTGGCAGAAGGGGTTGCTGAGAGAAGGGAACACCCTACTCCATATGAACAATGCACCTGCCCACAGATCTCAAAATGTTCAGGATACAATATCCCTGGACCTGAACATGAAGTCCTTGGTCCATGCACACTTAAGTCCAGATCTGGCCGATTACAATACTCTTAAATCGTGACACTGTTGAATTATTTCTTTCGAGAGGACGTAGGTTTAATGACACTGATGAAATAAAACAAGCTGTGCAACTGCAGCTTGCTACCATGTCAGAGAATGGATTCGGCTTTGTCTTTCAATCTTGGATTAGAGGTTGGGAAAGTAGGTTTAGCACTTATAACATATGTAGAGGGTCCTGTGGAATGAACCTGGTGACGTAATTGTCGGTCCCGGTGTGAAAGAAATGATGGTCCCCCAGGGATAATGGTCCCCTTTCTTAACGGCCCTTACTGGCCCTGATTGCGTATAAGATAATGAGGGAAAGAGTTGTATTTAGGTCACCATATAAATCAATGGAGAGTAGGACCATAATTTGATAGGACCTCCTACCCTTTTACACCGGCACCATTTGCATTCGTTCGACTTCACTTCTTAAAAGAGAGCTTCGTCTATACCTAGACTCTTCTTGCAGGGTACGGTCTCGGGGTACCTATACCTCCTTTCCAAAAATAAAGATATATCAAAATAACATGTTTTGTTTTCAAAGAGCTGATATGATCATGCGCTTTCAATAATCTATTGAATGCCCATGATATGATGCATTAAAGAGATTGGTCTATAAAAAGCATCCGTATAAAAAGCGTCTATTATTTTTTGATCACCCCTCTATTTCTAATATCAAATTTTGGTGTCTTATTTTGGTAATAGCCTTTCACAAAATCAGGCTGATTCAATCTAGAAGATTAGAAAAGGATTAGATAGATAGGATTGATATATAGAACGTAGATATTCAAACTTACATGTTTGCAGGCAAGTTGTGATGTAGTTATGCGATTTGTAGCAGTACTATGATAAGTTACAAGTAGATAAATATATTTTGTATGAAGCTAGATATCCATATTAACCTTTAGACTTACCGTTCACTCAAAAGGCTTCATTCAATTCAGCTTTAACCACTTGTATTTGACAATGCTTATAAATTAGTTCTAATGTGCCTCTAATAGTTGTACATGCAATACAGACTGATATTTCAACACATTTACTTACCCTACTATCACACCAAACTAGTTCTCACTACGTTCTTGAAAACGGGCTTCAACTGTGTACGAACGGACTGGACGTAGTTAGAACCGTTTGGAGTCTATTTACAAACTTCACGTACTCGAACGAGTAGGTCCTCTAGAACATGCTCGCGCTCAAAATGTTCTCTTGGTCGTCACGTTCTACAATTACACCCTATGCAGACAGAGCCTGTGGGAAATATTGGGTGGGGAGCAAATGAGCGGAGGGTGCGGAGCTAACGGTCATTTTTGAATTTAAATTTGGGATATTTCTGGAACTAAGCCGTTTTGGGACTTCAAATATACCAAGATATGTGTATTTGACACCAAATATCAATAAAATTGTGAAAATAGTAGTGGAATTCATTTTATAGCGACGCAGTATGCCTTAAACATTTCCCAGACCTATATATTTTGAGACTATCCTTTTAATACTACGTCCCCAGCATTCATAAAAAATGGTGTTCAAGATACACTACCCATGCAAATTATTTTTGCATCTTGGAAGCCAGGCAGTATCTGTGTGATTTTATAAAAATTCGAAAATGTTCTTCAGATATGAGCCCCCTCTAAATATTGGGTGCGGAGCTACGTTTATGGAGCTGCTCCGCACCCAATATTTAGAGGGGGCTCATATCTGAAAAAACATTTCCGAATTTTTATAAACTCACACAGATACTGCCTGGCTTCCAAGATGCAAAAATAATTTGTATAGATAGTGTACCTTGAACACCATTTTTTATGAATGCTGGGGACTCAGTAGTAAAAGGATAATTTCAAAATATATAGGTCTGGGAAAGGTTTAAGGCACACTGCGTCGCTATAGAATGAATTGCGCTACTATTTTCACAATTGTATTGATATTTGGTGTCAAATACACATATCTTGGTATATTTGAAGTCCCAAAACGGCTTAGTTCCAGAAATATCCTAAATTTAAATTCAAAAATGACCGTTAGCTCCGCACCCTCCGCTCATTTGCTCCCCACCCAATATTTTCCACAGGCTCTGTCTGCATAGGGTGAATTAGGACGAGTGACAACCTACTAACGACGAGCTGGACGTACTACGAACGGAGCCGTCGTACTTCAATCCTACTAGGGACGTTTTTACAACGAGTTGAACTGTCTGAGGACGTATTGAGAACGAGGTTCTTCAAAGCTGGTTTTAAACGGTCTGCGAACGGAATGGACATAGCTACAACGTTCTACGGTCTGTTTACGAACTTCATGGACTTTCCCGGACGGGGAATGTGATTTAGAATTTTGAATCGATTCAAAATTACATGGCGACCATACCGTTCTGTAATCAGGTCATGATGACCTTAGCTTCTGACTAAGGAACGCGTTATACGACGTTCCACACCGACGTGGTGCGACCTGGACGAACTGCGAATGAGATGGACGTATTGAAGACTGTTTATGAACGAAGTAGCTAATTATTTTAGACATATTTCCCGACCTAAGCCAGATTGAGCCCGTTTTACGACGTTTTCGTAGGACTGGCAAGAACGGGTAAGAACTAGTTTGGTGTGATAGGGGGTAATATACGCATAGTTAATACGGATGATATCAACAAATACAACGCAGAATTCTAAAGGACACCAGAAATAAAATATACACAATTATCATGGAAATGTCCCCATGGTCTACATGGTGACCCAAAAATCAGAACCCTCTAAAAGTGTAATAATTTCTTAAATACCTATCCCATCAATCCATTTTTCATGTACATAAACTAAGAATCTATGTATGATCATTTGATTTCAAGTTTGTTACACAAAATTGATTATTTGTGATATCATGGATGATCTTAAAATGTGTACAATATTCGGAAAATAAACATTGAGATCATTTTGCAGGGAATAACGACTAAGCAATTGATTCGGTGAGTTGACTCTGTCTGGGAAAACGATGAACAATCTGCAATGGGTGGATCAAAAACAGAATACATCGTAACTGCAAGTGCTATATTTATTTTACAACTTTTTGGGACTCATACAGGGCTCACTTGGGAAATTTGGGAAATACGTTTTCCCTTATTAACTTTTTTTGGTAATATTGAGATCTGATTGGTCGTGTAATGCCAAGCTATTTGTGTAAATTATCGGAATTAATGATCATTGCAATCTCTCTATTTCAATACATTGAAATGTCTTTGTGTAATGTTATATGATGGTTCAAAAGAATCTTTTATTTACAAGATTGAAGAATAAGTTGAGAATGTCTAGCAGCATATTTACTTTAAATTGCTAGTTGATTCATTATTTTAACGTCTCTGAACCTTTAGGTATAAACCATTCTTTGCATGCATCTGGCCACTCTTGACAAGCGTAACTGGATCCTGAAAAGTAAATCACTATAATGAATATGGCAATTCTAGACAGAAAGTGATGAAATCATAATAAAATTATAATTCCCCACGTCTGCTTCACAAACATTCTTGAATTATTTTGTTGATGAAATAGATATAAATTACCTCCGTCTTCTCACTGGGTAGAATCTGCAATTTCTGAATCATTTTGGAGAGGCACAACTTTACCTCGACCTGGGCCAATCGCATTGCAATACAAGATCTAGGGCCAAGTCCAAAGGGTTGATAATAGTAAGGGTTGCGCTTAGCCTTTTCTTCAGCAGAAAATCTGGAATTCCAAAGTATCTATCCATAAGTTCATCCATCGAAAAGGTTATCCCACTTAACAAGTTGTACTGGTCAAAAATATATAGAGAACTCATCCATCGCCATATAATCATTCATCTGACTATCCATTTGGCAGTCTGAATCATAATTCAAATACTAGCAGTCAGATTTGTGAAGCAAATAACCTACCTTTCAGGAATGAATTTTTCAGGGTCGGGGTATATATCAGCATCATGGTGTATTCCATACACAGGGATTGTTACAATGGCATCCTTTGGAATAGTTATCCCTTCAATTGTAATAGTCTCAGTACATTGACGCTCCAACCTGGCCAAAATAAATGTCATATTCATGAGCTAAACATATGAGTAAGCCATGTTACTTGTAGTACTAATGATTGGTATTCATTTATTTTTTATATTGTTGCAATTTTACCTAGGTGCAGATGGGAACAATCTTTGACTTTCTTCAATCACACTTTCTAAGTATGTCATTTTTTGTAACATCTCATACGTTATTTCCTCCTAAAAAGAATATAATAAATGTAGATGTCATAACTGTTATTGTAATTCTCATTTTTGGTATCTTATCATCGTTCTTTCTACCCCTACTCATTATTAAGTCAGTGATTTTCATTTTAGTCAATTGGATTTTGAATCACTAACTAAAACAAGTAGGTATACACTTAGTATTATGTATTATGACTGGACTAACAGAGACTGAATAAATCTGACATCTAGAGGTTTAATTTTAAGTCAGTTTAATGAATATTACTATGGTTTAGTTGTGACTTCAAGTCTTACCTCACCATCTGTGACTTCCATAACCTCTTCATAAACCTTTTCTTGGATGTCCTGGTGAAGAGCCATTTCATAAGCAGCCCAGCTAATCGTAGTAGAGACTGTGTCATATCCAGCAAGGATAAATATGATTGCATTTGCCAAAATCACATCATTTGAGAGTCCTTAAAGAATTAATTGTGAATACACAGTCCTAGGTCTGCTGTTGAATATATAAGCACAAATGCCAAAGGGAAGGGTGACTAAAAACTTTAAAGAAACCCAACAAGAAAAGCAAACTGTAAGTGTAAATCTGTCATAAGAAAAGTAGACCCTACATATCCCAAAACCATAATCTAACGTGAAAAGAAACAATGTCTAACATCCCCCTCCCCCCTCCAATCGAGAACCAATACCACAATCCAGGACCAGAACACCAAGGGACATTTCATTCATACTGAAGCATTACAATACATGTTGAAGAAAAATTGAAAAAATTGATAGCCAATACTCATAACATCAAAAATAGTTGTAGATACTGGTACTCATAAAAGATAGAGTATTCAGTCTCAAATGATGTGGGATAGATAAAATCCAGTCTCGAAGTCCATAGGCAATTCAAAGGGTCAACATCCGTTCGCAAAGCCGTCATCATAATCCGTAAAACACAACAATTCACAATGGTCATCAGGAGAAAACTATGGCTATTTTCGATCCCTATTTCTCAACCTATTTAGGGCGTTCTTCAAAATATATTGTTATGGATTCTGCATTACATGAACAAAGGGGTGGAAATATTATGTGTAAAAATAAGTGTCATTCAAGAGTACAACCAGTTGAAAAGAAATATAAAAATACTGAGAAATTAGTACGAGGGCAAATTGAAAAACATAAGGAATATAGAAATCAATATTTTGCAGCTTACTTTTGTCTTCGTCCTCAACATCCTGAGTCTTCAGCATAATATTCAGGAAATCATTATTTTTCTGAAAAATAAACAAGTTTGTATACAGCTGAAATATGAGTCAGAAATATAAAGCAACAAAATTTTTTTCATCATGATAATTGAATGCCACGATTTATTAATTCATGAATGAACATGTACAATACTTACGTTTGAATCAGCCTTTTTATTTGCTATGGCTTGAGTCATTATGTTCTTAAAGAATGCATCACATTCGGCTGAAATTGCTCCCATTTTAGATTTTACTACCAATGGGCCCAACACAGGTGTCACTATAGCAACTAAAATTTTAAAAATCATTGATACCAGTAAAACATCATACAAAACAGTTTGCATGTTTTCAAGTAAAATTATGTCACAAGCATAGCCAGGTATGAGAAAATTTACCAAATACACTCAAATATTGCACATATCAGTCAAGTCAAGTAAGTCAACATTCGAAAATATATCTGAATATATCCGAATAAAATGTTTTATTGTAAAATTATTAAAAGAACATGATGGGGAGTTAGCAAAGTACACAAACATTAGATACCATAACCAAATTCTTCTAAAAAATGGCTCATGGACAAAAATAAATGATATCAGTACAAAGTCATTGTATAATATACTTTTAAAAGAAAAAGCCGAAAGCACAGTAATGGAAATTTATTGGAGTTCATTGTTTAAGACACCAAATACAACACAGTTTTATAGATCTATTTATATGTCAACATTTATAAACATTGTTGACAAAAATATGCTGAATTTAACTATAAATTGATTCATAACATATTGGCATGTGGTAAACTTGTGAGTAAGTGGAATAATAACATTTCGAAACTGTGTTTATATTGCAATGAAACTCATGACATCAAGCATATGATATTTGAGTGTCGATTACTAGGAAATCTTTGGGTCAATGTTGGGAAGATTCTAAAATGTAATATTCAATGGAAAAATATAATATTAGGGTTTTATATGAATGAAGGAAATATTCAAGAATTTAGAAATATTGTCACAACGGTGGTCAGCTATAGCATTTATGTAAATTGGAGTAAACACTCAGAGGATTATGAAGGACTTAAGGATGTAAATTTTAACCATCAAGCCTTTCTATATTTATCCAAGTATGTTTATAATATGAGACATATGAAGAAGAAAAATAATGAAGTGCTGCACCTTTTAGAGGACTGCATTAATAATTTTGACTTGTTATATTAACATATAGTAGATGTAGATCATAGTATATGTAGATATACTTTTTTCACATCTTTATAGACATGTACTTGCTGTGTTTCTTTTTTATGTCTTTATAGGTTTATTTTATTCTTTTTTACATCTTATAGATTAGATGTGAGATTACTGCAGGTTTATGTACTTACTGTAGCCTTATAATTTATATTATCACACCTTACTTAACCTTTGTATTCTTGATTAAATGTATATGTAAATATGTTTTGATTTTGAAAAAAAAAAAAAAACATTCGAAAATAAAAATCTCAAAAATCGTATATCTTTACTTTCCAAAATAATTTGTGAGGTGGTTATTAAGATGATAATACACATTTTAACGTATTAATTTTGAGTACATCTCGAATCCATTCTCAACAAAGCGTTCTCGAAATAAGTATTCGAAATGTTTGAGTTCGGGATGATAAAAGTACGTTAAGATATACCGCTCCTTAACAAACTCCTTTGGGAACAAGATTTAGAATCAAATGCATATTCTTCTTATTTACTCCCTGAAACATGCCCATGAATGTTGTATAAGTAAATATCTCCGTTTAAAAAAATGAAAACGTTGTTCTCTACAGGTTCCATTTTGTATAATTGAAAAACAAAATTGAACATTTTGCTTTTCTAAATTGATAAGTTTCTTGGAATACAACTTAACCGTAAACGATTTAAGTCATTAATAATATTTCATTTAGTGAATCCATACTGAATAGACAGTAACTGGGTCAATGTTTTGTGTTCAACCTTGTTTTCATGACTTTTAAACATGAGTCGACGATTATGTAGGAAATTTCATTTCCAAATGTAAACGTGTCAACTCCTGTTTTTGCACAATATCTAGCCTTTTATAATGATAGATCGCCAAAATCTGCATGTACCTATCAATGAGGCGATATGTTTTTAAATTTATAGATGTAAGCTATAAACTCAAACAAAAATTCAAACCACCCGCTCTATTATTTTGATTACACAAGACGAAATTTCAACTCCCGGGGAGCACTTTGGTACCACTTTGAAGAAAGATTCTTGAAAAATCGTTCGAATTTTCACAAAATGTTTTACGTAATTTTATTGCTTTGTTTAAGCCTCGACTTATAGCATACTCAAATCCGATACCATAATTATAAATAAATATGAAACATTCAACATACCAGGTTAAATGATAAACCGTTTCGAGAATTGATGATTTGAGTTAATTGTGGATATTTATGTAAATGTAAGTCGGCATGTATTCGACAGTTAATGTACACACATGATGTATGCATCAACGTGTGACTTGAATATCAATTCGTGACTATCACATTTGGCTTTCAAAAATTAAGTTGGAAGTTACAGTGGTAGGAGATTAACGAAAACGTCAATCACATCCAAATATCCGAACGACGTCAAGTATTAACAATACACTTTTCGTGCATCTCGAACAAGGCAAGGTTCTGTGATCCAGCAATGTGCATTTCGAAAGAAAAAATTCACAAATATCAACAAATTTTATTGAGTAGGATATTACATTCGAAATCAAAACTTTCAAATTATTATTTTTAACCAAGAATTGTAAGAACTTGAAACATGTTGTGAGTTTTTCAAACGGCATATCCTCATTCACGTTCTTTGACAAGGATGAATCCATTAGAAAATATGGATTTTCTTGATTATTCTTCAAAACTACCCTTGAAATATAAGTATGTAGGATATTACAGTGTAAATTGACACGCATTTATTTGCTCCATATCACGAACAAATAAATGCAGTACCAGCTTGCAATATTTGAAAACAGAAAGTTCATTCTGTATGTAAACAAGAAAAAATACATTTATGGTTGGTTCATAATGAAAAATGACGAATAACATACAGCTTTTGAAGTAGGGGTATACAGGGACACAGTGGAAAATCAGAAATTTAGGTCATATCCCAAAGATTGCTTCACCAATATGTAACAGAACATCAAAATTATCATTTACACGTTTTCTGATAGGTTTATTGAAAATAATAAACCAGAGGTTTACTTCAATCGTGGCACCATTCTTAGTAAATGCTGATGAACAAACGAATATCGAATGTTGACTTAGTTACTTGGCTTGACCGATATGTGCTTTTACAAAATAAAATGGCAAAATGGAAGCTTGAGTATAGATCACAGTCAGATCAAGAATATCGTCCTGTTCAGAAAGAAAATTTCATTGTGCTCTGAAAATGGCATTCTTACTTAGAGCTGCAATGACTCTGGCGGAACTAACGTTAAAGAATTCAGCAGTATGGGGAACAAATTCAGACTTTGGATTATTCTGGATTTGTGCGTCTATCCCAAATCCAACAGCTGCCACCATGTCCAACGTACATTTTCCCACTAAACTGGAAAAAGGTGTAAAATGTTTTAAAATGAAAGAAAGGGAATCAGCTAGGAAAGTGTAAACACTTATCTGATGACGTGTATTGTTGCCAAAACTTCACAACGTTAATTCAAAGTGAGATATTAAAGGCAGAATCTGATCTATAGGAGGTGACAAAATTACAAGCAACATGTATAATTGACCTACTACTCTATTCCTTACACTATCAAATACAATATCTCCCAAAAGATTCACAATATGTTATATATTGGTGAAGTTATTAATGATTCAAAGTGCGAAAATGGGTGAAAAATGTTTAAATTCTCCCAAATAGTAAGAATGGTAACCATTCTTATAGAAAAATAATACATAACATTATTGTAAAAATCTTTAGTTTTCCTGGAATAAAGTACATGCTCTTTTGTGATTTTTAGAAAATAGACATGACAAGGAATGACATGAGCCAAAAATATTCTAGAATTGAAACAATTTTTTGTTTAGCCTGCTTGCTATATCTGATTCTCTCTTTAAATATGAGTTGTAGTTGGTCAGCATTGGTCAATTAGAAAAATCAAAATCTTCTAATCACTCTTTGAATTCAAACATCTCATCTGCGTCTGCTCTCTCTCCCATCTTTTCCAAGAGAATATTGTTATACGTGTTTAAACCATCCATCATCTGTAAATGTAGAAAAATAATGTTCCATAACATATAGGGATTCGACTGACAAGACAGGGGTGGTTCTTGAAATCAAGTAATATTGGTCCCAGCATTGAAATTTTGAGCCCAATATCCTAAGAATTATGTCCAAGATTAAAAAAGAATGGCCAGTTTGTTATATAAATTGTACAATCTATGTGAAGAGGAGCAAACTTTTAGCCCCAATTTCTCCAGGGCCCACCTTAACCCCTATACCCTCCGCGCCAATGTCCGCCACTGCAACATCCCTTAAATATAATAAATATAGTTTGAAATTATCAATGAATGTATATACTTAAGAATGTTTACCCGTTTAATCTTTCCACTAGTGAAAGTCTGGCTCATAACATTCCTTGTCTTTTTCCACTCATCATCAACCAAATTTGTTAACATTTTTTCAACAGCTTTTCCAAACACTGGGGGCAATTGCTGAAACAAGATCATTTAGATATTGTTACACTCATGTAAAATGCTCATATGTTTCCATTAACATTTGTGAATGATGTCAAATGAAACATAGACAAGGGATTTTTTCAAAATGATTGACTATGCTGACAGTAAAAGATCCGTCTCTTGATTGGCCAGATATATACAGATTGTCCATCTTTACAATTACGTACAAAGTCTGTGAGGGTCGTGGGTTCAATCCCCACTGGACTGAACTGACTTTTCACATCAGCCTTTGGCGCAGGATTTAATTTTGTGTTATCATTGACCCAAAGAGACTTTATAGATACCTGGTCTGTATACAGTGTGGAATGTCCATCTACTTGTGGTCACATTTGCTCCGATCTACAGGTTTGTAGAAAAAACCGGGTACCGGGTAGTAAATCCTCCGTGCTGGCTTCAAACTTGGTACCCGGTACCCGGTCGAAAAAACCGGGATCCCAAAAAACGAAAAATACGAATATTTAACATAAATATCATTAGAAAACGTGTAAGATTTGTTTTGAATTTATAAAAATGTATGTAACTTCCTTCAAAATTGAGCTAGAAGCTTCAAATAAAAAGCATTTTAAGGCTCTTTTCTTCCTCTATCATTACGGTCATATTTTCATTGGTTATGGGGGGGGGGGCAGGGGTGCGATCGCACCACAACTGCCCCTCCTGGCTACGCCTAAGACACTGTAAGACGATTTGAAAAACATGACAAATCAACCTTCCTCTTTTTTCAATAGTTCGTATGTTGGTACGTAATTGTTTTGATTATGATTTAAATCTGTAAATAGCTATCGTTAGTTTAGCAGAGATGTGACGTGTGTTAATTTACACGATGCAACGTATAAGATTTTGACTATAATCATAATTTAAGTTATCCCAATTTTCGACGAAACGTCCACTGAAGCAGTGCATTAATTGTTACATCTTACAATGTCACAGGCGTAGCCAGGAGGGGGTGCGATCGCACCCCCCCCCCTCCATAACCAATGAAAATATGACCATGATGATAGAGGAAGAAAAGAGCCTTAAATGCTTTTTATTTGAAGCTTCTAGCTCAATTTTGAAGGAATTTACATACATTTTTGTAAATTCAAAACAAATCTTACACATTTTCTAATGATATTTATGTTAAATATTCGTATTTTTCGTTTTTTGGGTACCCGGTTTTTTCGACCAGGTACCGGGTACCACGTTTGAACCCAGCATGGGGGATTTACTACCCGGTACCCGGGTTTTTTCTACAAACCCTCCGATCTACACCCGGATCTACAACATCGGAGCTCGACCAGTACTGAAAATTGGAGCAAATGTGACCATGGCGTGAATGTAAATACTTACTCTTCTATTTTGGAAGCTGGAGAATTCTTTGACCAAAACAGTTTTAAGAAGATCTCCATCAACAATAGCTAGATTAGGAGTGCTTCCATCAAATAAGCTGCAAATAGGGTGGGATTGATATTGCAAAAATACGGCTTTGTATAAAAAACCTCCTACCTCATACCCACCTACGTGGAACATGATACAGTCATTGAAGGTTTCAATTTTAAAATTATGAAATCTCAAAATAGCTCAAATTATTAACATTTCTACAATTCCGGCTTTATTTTATGACAAGACAGATGACAGATCCATAAATAAAGGCATATGGATGCATTTTAATGTATAATGACCCGAAGGCGCCCCAGGGGAATAAATAACTAACGACCGCGAGCACAGGTCAAAGAAGCCAGATAAGAAATTATTGAAAGAAAGAGTGCTAAATTCGATGCCCCGAGTGGGAATCGAATCCAGCTGGAATGTAGTAGCAACTTGCTATCAAGGGTCGTTACAAATGCATCTATAATTCATCATAAACTAAGATTTAATAGACTAAGATTGAACCCTTCAAAGACTGTATAATGCCCCACGTACGTGGGTTGGTGGGTATGAGGTAGGAGGTTTTTAATACAAAGCCCAAAAATACAGATGCTAATCAAATAATTCATCCCTGCAAAAAAATCAGTAAAATCGCAAGGTCAGAAGGTAGAACACAAACAGAGAATGAAATTTGAAGAAGTGAAATATGTTGAGGTCTTTTGATCACATGATAATACATCAACCAGTCTAATTCTAGCAATGGAATTCTAGCAATGAGGAATGAATATATTTGTAATATTTTTTGTTTGAATGAAACTGTTCTGAAATATTGATGTTTTCTTACTCGAGTCTCTAGCCAATACAGTGGCCTTAGAAGAAGGTAAATGTTTTCCATTTTGGTGACTTACCCATATACTTTGTCTTTCTTATAACGTTCATACAATATCCTATCTCCCTCTACTATACCCTGTAAAAAATATATCATGGTTGTATTCTCGTTGCATATGAACAAAGTATACAACAAGTGTCAGGACCATGGGCAGGCACGTAGCCAGAATTTTCCAAGGGGGGGGGTCACTTTTCCAAAAGGTTCTAGGGGGGGGTCACTTCGGCAAAGGACGATTCTCGGTTTGGAGAACAGTCTCCTGGGCTAATAATTTTTTTCATGAAAAATATAGAAATATTACCCAAATTAAACTATGAATATTCAAAAGGGGACATTTAAATCTACAAGATATAACAAATTGGTCTGAAGCAGGGATAATGCTCAATTAGACTGATTCAATAAAATACAAGTCTTGATTTTGGGGAAAGAAGTTCATCAGTGTACTGCGCTAATATTTTTTTGCGAAAAATCTAAAAATATTACCCAAATTAAATTATGACTATTCAAAAGAAGACATTCAAATCTATATTATGTAAAAAAATCAAATTTGTCCGAAGCAGGGATAATGCTCATTTAGATTGAAGAACTTCGTTCTCCAAACCGAGAATCGTCCTTTGGCCAAAAATCTCTCAAAAATAGTCAGAATGGTGAAAAACTGCATGATTTTTAAAGAAATTTTGACAAGGGGGGGGAGGTTCGCCCGAATCCCACTGGCTACGAGCCTGATGGTTAAAAGGAAAATTCTAAAAGTACAATTGGTCATAAGGGAATGACTAATATTACAATCACTTACTAATGGGTTACTGAAAGTAAAGAAGGAAAAGCAATACTCTAAAATATTCCATTCACAAAACTGTTAAATAGCATTACCTTAGATACTGACAGCCAAAAGGTGCCAATTATGGGAAATGGAGTAGGTCCTTTAATACCTTGTGCTGACCAATAGCCAAAGTTCCATGTAAGGTATCTAAAACAAAGATTTACACCAAATTATTTGTAATTTCAAAAGTAAAGTAAAGGGTGGTTATCATTAAATATATAGTAGCCCGGACAAAATTGTTCAGTGGTCACTTTTTCTTTAATAACTTTTTGAACTTTCAGTATTATCAAAATTCTGACATAAAAAAATATTTAAGGAACATCTCTTATTTTATTGATATTATAGGCGTTCATAGTATGAGTGACGCAAATACATAATTCACCATTTTGCCTCATATTAGTTCAAAATGGCGGCATCCATATTTCGTGAATTTGAATGTTCAGTTGAAAGTTGATATTTAAAGATCGTCAGGCCATATGTCATATAATGCAGCAACTGACCAATCATCAAATACAAGAAGTCAATTCCCTCAAAAGGTATATGAAATCAACTCTATTGAAATGTTCTGAGTTGTGTTCAAGAGGATGTGAAAAGGTGTCCCCCTCCCCAATGTGCGGGGTGTTATGAGAGTCGGTCCTCAATCTTTTCAAGATCTCCAATCAGCCATCTCAGAGGCCATTGAAAAGCTGCGCACGTGACTAGGAAAGACATTACAAACTGTGGCAGTATGACCCTATAGTTGCACAGGTTGCACAAGTCTTGCGACCTTACCAATATACTCATACAATGTACAAACATTTTTAAGTACTGGTATACATACAAGTCAATTTAAAACAAAAGGTTATAAATGCAGTCATTACCTCGTACCAAAGCAGCAGTCTGCATGATGTCGTAGGCCTATGACATTTCTTAAATATTAACTTTCAACTGAACATTCAAATCCACAAAACATGGATGCCGCCATTTTTGAAAAAATATGAGACAAAATGATGAATTATGTATTTGCGTCACTCATACTATGAATGCCTACAATATCAATAACTTAAGAAATGTTCCTTAAATATTGTTTTATATGTCAGAATTTTACTCTAGTTTTCAAATATGTGATCAGACTTTGACAATAATGAAAATTGAAAAAAGTTATCAAAGAAAAAGTGACCATTGAACAATTCTGTCCGGGCTACTATTATATTGACTGAGCCTTAGTGTCAGCCTTGGTGATATTTTCCGAGGCCAATATCATATTTTCTCGACGAAAAAATCATATTCCACCACGACCATCAATAACCGATTCATTCCATAATATTTTTCTGATTGAATTGATTTTTTCTGATTGACTCCATTTATCATCACCCTATGGCGTATATGGTAGTGACATAAAATGATATAATTTGATTCAACTTTGAACTTTTTTCAAGTATTAAAATAGAACGAAAAATGTGAAAATCAAGAGAAATCCCCGGGAATAGTTCTGATATGGGATGTGATACAGGATTTCGTGGCCGATACGAGATCCAATACGGGGATTTTTTGAAAATCAATTCGATAATTCTATTCCTGTTTATTTCCCAGGGAAAATATGCCATTATTGAATAAAATGGTATAATCTTTGGTGTTAAAGTTGTTTTTGGACCATTTTTCTAAAAAATTATAATATTTGAGTTTTAAGTATGTTGTTGTAAACGATTTGTGTCATCTTGTGAAATAATTTAGTAGAGGTCTATTCAGATCATTGTATTTTTGGTATTTTTGTGATAATCGATGAAAACGAATAGTTCCTATTGGAATATGATATCCCAGTTAAGTCAATGGGGCACATCCCCATGTTAAGTCAATAACCCTTGCTGAGCTTAATGCCCTGATTCCTCATTGTAAGTATCATTTAACATTGTAATCATCATTTTACAACTAAAATTTAATTTTTACCATGGGGATATTTGCCCCATATTGCAACCCGTCCTTTTAACACAATCAAGTTATTTCTCAATAAAGTAGATGCTCCATTTTTATTTCACCCTGTAGTATTGTAGTAATGTAAAACCAAATAATTAACTTACATGTATAGAGCAATTAGCACGCCTGTTATGATCAATAGTGTATCAGAGACTTCTACTAGCCCAAGGATATTCATCTTGTCTCTTATCTGGAAATGTGAGACACAGGACGATAAACAATTTGACAACCTTTCACAAAATCAGGTTACTACATTTTGATATTTAGGTAATTTGATGAAATTTCATGACCATGTGCTATTTTCAGGTAAACATACTAGTAACTCATTCCATACACGGTCTACAACTTTTATTTTTGCACAAAAGGTGCAATTAGTGTACCTAGATTATTAATTGAGGGTTGACAATTCTTTAGAATGTATGAATAACTAGAATACTCAGTGGTCAGAATTCCAAAGTGCAGTCTGACATTTAAGCGAATGGTTGTCATATAGAATGTACATGTTCTTTAACTTATCACTTACGACGGCTTGTGTGTAGTTTTATTTTGTAGCTGCACTATACAAGTCAATAGTATAACCAAATATGTGTTGTTTGTATAATGGACTTTCAATTGAAAGCCCGTGCTTGTATATGTTGATATCCATATTGACCCAATTAGACTGAAAGTGAAAAGCTTAAGACTTACCGTTTATTTTGCCACTAAAATCACTTCATTTGTTTCAGTTGCAGCCTTAACCACTTGTATTTGAAGGGTCAGAGAAAACTGCTTAAATATCTCCAATATTTGCATATGCAATACTGACTGTTATTTCAACACATTTACCAATGGCAATCTATATTTGTAAGTTTGCCTTTAATATTAAGATATTGTGAACACGCAAATGTAGAAATACTTTGTATCTGACGCAGGCAAGTTGGTATAAGGTCAATATATGGTGAGGTACATGGTGTGTAGCAAAAATATAATGAGAAAATAAGTAGTTCACTTCAGTTCAGTTCAATTCAGTGTCTTTATTTCCTCCACATGGGTGAAGATCTTAAACATTACATATAATTACAGACAATTCACATTAACAGATTATTTACATTTGTACATATTAATAGTTACATATAGATTCACATTTAGAGTTTTTACATTTCTGTTTGTTTGATTACTGTTTTCACCATTAGATCAATGTACTATACACTATTCGATAGGAACTGTTCCATTGTACCATCTTGGCAATTTTGAAGTACATCAGTCGTGCTTCCTAGTAACGTTTCTACTATGATATTTTCAGTAGTGTTCAATAATTGAACTGATAATTCAATAGGTAGTATTTTAACAATACCATCTAATAGTTTCTCTCTCAAGTAAATAACTCGGACATGCTGGCAGTGAAGAACAAGGTGACTGACCATATCAACAATTGTCAACTTTTTACATGCAAGGCATTTCGTTTCTTTTTCGGTAAACCACTGAAGCCGGTATTATCCAGGACCCATTGAATCGGTTCAATCACGACTTACCGTTACTTAAGTTACCGACGAGACTGCGAGACTTAGTGCAAAACATGGCACGGTCCCATGGCACACCCTATGGCATAGACTATGCCACCCCCGTGGACACTATTTTGAGTCAAATTCTTGCAGATTTATATGCCTCATGCGACTACAAGTTTTGCTCAAAAGCCCCTTTTCAAAATGGTCACCAGTTTCAAAATGGTCACCATTTAAGTGTAAATTTTAATGTATTTTAGACACAACATAACCAATGTCATAGGGTGCCATGGCACCATGCCATGTTTTGTACTAATCTGTGTGGTTAGTACAAAACATGGCACCATGCCATGGCGCTGTGCCATGCCATGGGCTCTAGGACATTATTTCGAGTAAAAATCTTGCTGATTTTAGGCCTCAATGTGTGTTGAAGTTCTGCCAAAAAGCGGGAAATTAGCTTTGAAGAACTTGAACTCACATAAGGCATATAAATCTGCGAGAATTTGGCGAGAAATAGTGTCCTATATCCTATAGCAGAGTGGATGACATAACCTAAAATGGCGGCCATTTTTCAAAATTGCCACTCACTAGCCAAATTATAATTGGAAAGTGTATCATGCTCATCAGTATTCGCATATCAAATATGTGGAAAATCCTGATTTCTGAACAAAATAGCTCCACTACTTTTTCAGATACAGCAAAAATCGTAAAATAGCGTTTACTACCCCTTTTCAATTAGATGGTTGTCAAGTTTTTTAGATATTTTAGAGCATTTTAGAGCGTCCTTCGTGGGTCAAAACGTTAAAAATACGCCATCACGCGTAACATTTTAGGAGCGCGCTATTTTTCAAAAGGATGTAGAATCATTATTTTTTCATCAATTTTGATGACACAGGTAGGAATTAGAAACAAGGTTTTGGCTTAAATTTATAAATCTGAAGAAAACAGATTAAATTTCCTTCAAACATTTTAGATATCGAATGATATGTAGGGTATGAAAAATGTTCCATTTAGTATTTTTAGCTTAAAAATGCGTAAACTTTAAGTCCAGCCATCATGTACGCGTATTAGAATAATAAAAAAAATATATCAAAATAAAAACATTTTAGATAGAGCTTTTTAATATATTTTAATCGTGGAAAATTTCAAAGACTTTCAAACGATGCGAAAGAAAAAGTATTAAAATTGTCCCAAGTAGATTTTTGACGTATTTTCATTGAGTTTGTAGTTATGATGGCATTTAGAATTTTAGAGAAAATTGTTGATCTCGTGACATTACAAAGTATATGCCCCTGCAGTATTGAACATCGGTTCGAAAGATTTTTACAATAATACATTCACAATAATTGTTTTTCTAGTTTTATGGTTACCATTTTTATTATTTGGGAGAATTTCCCCTCATTTTGGTACTTTGAATCATTAATAACTTCACCAATCTTTGGGAGATATTATGTTTGACTAGGATTACATGTTGCTAGCATTTTTGTCACTCCCTATGGATCTGATTCTCCCTTAGACTTAAATCAAACCTAGGACTGGAAACATAAATTGACATCATTTACCGTACTTAGTTTTTTTTAACAATTACAAACGGTCGGAAATTGATGAAATTCGAAAATCGACATCCGATCTTAGCTAACGGGAATCGGTAGATTAGCCGCAAATCATATATGACAGAATATTCACCTATCGAGTTTTCGCAAAAAATTAATAAAGTTAAAGGCATAATCAGATCTACTTAGATTCTTCTGACAATCGCTTCAATTTTAGAATATTTTAAGCTCATATCATTCCCTGTCATATCTATTTTCTAAAAATACCCAAAGTATATACTGAATTAGAGGAAAACTTGGTTTATCAAATAAAAGGATTAATGCATGTCATTTGTGTCAATTATATATACGTATGATATATGTCATTGGTGTCAGACATACTGTCATACCATATATCATATCATGTCATACGCAACGAAAGAACTGTTTCTTGATATATGAATAGCATATTATTTATTCAAGTTTGCCATTTATTGGATTTATGTTAGACATTTGACAATCTGAAAGGATTATCTTTTTTTTAAATAACATTAATTCAAATATTTGAAGAATCTAAGCCCCTTTTTGATTTAAATTAATAATCTGCACATGTCCGAACCTAATCATGCATGACAAAGCAAATTAATTCAGACCTTTGACAGTTTGAGTATGTTCCTCCCTTTAAGATGTTCTGGCTGAAATGTATAATGTGTATGTGGAACGGGGTAGAGAAAGTGTTATGTACTAGAATGTTTTGGATACAGGTTTTACCTCAAGGGAAATATGTGTATATCTTGAGGTACAGCAGGGACCGAGGGATATACACAGATTTTCAAATTTGCCAGTTAGTTCTGTTCTTTGTTAGTTCTGTTATCTATTATCGTGGTCAGGTGTAACAGTTTTATTATAACAATTGAACATGACACCTATATTTTTTTATTAATTTTTTATTTCAATTTTGATTTTTGTATTGATTCTTAAGGTCAACTCTGTACACGTATCTTCATTTTCAATCACAAAAGGAACTTTCTTTTACAAGATGGAAAGATTTGGTATAAGAATGTCTAGCAGCATGCTTTTATTCACATATCTATTACTTCATTGACAAGCTACAATCCAAAATAGGCGTTATGAAACGTTAAGTAGGCAAGCGAAACTTACACTACCAGGCCAAAGAAGATAATATACTATTATATCCGTGTACTTTATTACATAACAGTTTAACTGGTTTCGATCTTAAAACGTCTCAAAGATATTTTGAGAATAAATGAATACGTTGGTGATACAATTGCCTCCTGGAGTTGCCTCCGATCCCCTGCCTCATATTCAGCTATCACTGCGCACTTTAACGTCTCTGAACCTTTAGGTATAGACCATTCTTTGCATGCATCTGACCAGTCTGAACAAGCGGAATTGGATCCTAGAAATATGGGTTTAGGTTGGTAAATAAGTGCAATGAACACAGAATCCACATTTCATTTGTGCATGCTTGCAATAAGATGCTAAAATAATATGCTAAAAGATTCTCTTTTTTAATTAATTTCTTCTTAATCAATAAAGTATGCTCTGGTCATGCTTGTGCTATACACTTTTAATATCATATAAAAAAATGAAAAAAATATCTATTGTAATAATATGCAAATATGAACTGGTATTTTCTCATCAAAATAAGCTAATTATGAAATAAATCAAAATTACTATTATAGTACCTCTGTCTTCTCACAAGGTAGAACCCTCAATTTCTGTATCATTTTGGCGAGACACAATTTCACCTCAGTCTGAGCCAATCGCATTGCAATGCATGACCTTGGGCCAAGTCCAAATGGTTGAAAATAGTATGGGTTGCGCTTTGCCTTTTCTTCAGCAGAAAATCTGTGTAGAATAATAAAGAGACTTCAGTTCTTTACAAAAGTGAGCGTTGGATTTGTCTGTGCATAGATGAACTTCACATTTTGCTTCATTTATAAAGAATGCATCTTAGATTTAGGACCTCTGTTTAAAAACACAAGTTTTTCATCTTTAAGGTGATTCTTCGTAAATGTGAAATAAAAGAAGAGAATTTAGTGAAAATGTAAAACATCTGGAACAAACAGATCACGCCTCGAATAAATACATATACACTTCAGCAAGGATTGGTATCGAATAATATATTTTCACATATACAAGAATGTGATGTTAAAAGTATAGAAAGCTTTTTAGGGCATAGCATTGATCTCCGACTTTTTCCCAAAACATGCAAATAGGATGACACATGACGTATACAATTTTTTTCCATTTTATCGCCATGGTGTATCTCTTTAGCAAAAGAGGGATGATGCAGAATAGACCCTCAGTATATAAATCAATTTGGAATGCCTACCTTTCAGGGATGAATTTTTCAGGGTCAGGATATATATCAGCATCATGGTGTATTCCATACACAGGGATTGTTATTATGGCATCCTTTGGAATAGTTATCCCTTCAATTGTAATAGTCTCAGTACATTGGCGCTCTATTCTATTCAACATCAAGGAGAATGATAAAAACAATTTGGCCATAATGGTGAATACAAGATTCAGAATAAGAAATAAATTGGAAAAATTAAAACGGACTTGCTGGAAACACTAAATTGGAAAAATTAAACTGGCATATTATTTTATGTATGTAGGAAAGAATAAACTAGCATACTGTGAATTTATTAAATAGGAAATATTAAACAGGCATATTTGGAATATACTAAATAGAGGGTGAGCCATAAAAGGTATCCCAAACCCTAACATGGGTCATATATATATATAGAACATTTCAACATTGTTCAATGTTCTTTCATTCAAGTAAGTTTCATTGGTCTATTTCAATGGTAACGATCCTAGAAGCAACAAGAGCCATTGCACAATGAGCGTGTCTATGAGCGTGTAGTCAGAACTTCTTCACCTGATGCATTCAAGTTTGCCTCCAGAGACAAGACCGGCATTTTGAGCATGTTTTGTAAAATGGCCATAAAATCGTGACTATTTGGAACATACCAATGAAACTTGGTTGAATGAAAAAAAATTGAACAAGATATATTTGTGCCTAGTGCCAAATATGACTTTTAACCCATGCTGAATGACTGATTTATTAAAATCTTTTTGGGTTACCCTTTTTAGCTCAACCTGTATAAGCTATTGCTTGAACACTTTACCTGGGTGCACCAGGGAACAATCTTTGACTTTCCTCTATCACACTCTCCAAATAGGTCATCTTTGGTAACATCTCATATGTTATATCATCCTAAATAAACATAGAAAATATAAAACTTTGTACAAAGTTCCTAATTGGACACAAGAAGCTCATTAGGGGAAAACAGACAATGGTCAGTGAACACCCTGAAAATGCCTTTAAAAGTTTTGTTTACCTCAGCGCCTGTGACTTCCATAATCTCTTCATAAACCTTTTCTTGGATGTCCTGGTGAAGAGCCATTTCATAAGCAGCCCAACTAACTGTATTAGAAACTGTGTCATATCCAGCAAGGATAAACACAATTGCATTTGCCAAAATCACATCATCTGGGAGTCCTATTATGGAGACGTGGAAATGATAAGTATTTTGTTAATAACATGAATCAAGCTTTGAAGAGTGGTATTCACCCAATACATTATAGATAGAGCCCATGCTCTAACTAATACTCATATGAGTATCATTTTTTAAAAAAAAGATTCCAGTGACTTCCAATTTGATGAATATGATATAAATTAAAATGAGTTAAAACTACAAAAGAGTAAATAATTAATTTTCGGTAAAAATAACAAATTTCTACAAAAAATTTAGACTTTTTTCTGAAAACCATGTTTTTAATGGAATATACTTACTTTTACTTTCGTCCTCGGCATCTTGTGCTTTCAGTATGAGACTCAGAAAGTCATTATGTTTCTGGAAATATTCAACAAAATTGCAATTTTATATTGGCAGCTTGCTGAAAACATAATTATGCAATATACAAAACAAAACATCTAAGAATTTAAGGCCTGAACTCAATGGAGTAAGTGCAAGTGGACTGATTACCATCCCTCCAAGGTGTCGTTGTAAACTTTGCACAAATGAGTAGCATGAATGCTGAGTTTAGGAGCAACCCTAGAGTGGAATGAATCAATCACAATGCATCAAGTCTGGAGCTTAAAGTCTTTTCACACATTGTAAAATATTTTATACAATATCACTTAAAAGATATGAAATCACTTAAAAGGAAACGTTTGCAAATGTGGAGTTGTCAGTGCATCAATTTCACTTTGTAGATGGATGTTCTGGATTGTGTACATCCTTTCTATACTCTATATATGTTTCTATATACAACTTCTTGTCAACCAGGTTTCCATTTTTACAACTGGCATTTAATTCATGTGAACTCTAAATAATATGCAAACATTAATTATTTATAACCCAATTATTTTGGTTTTAAGTTTAATGTCCAAATTATATTTTATTGTCCTAATATGTACATGACGTCATTAGCCATAATATTGACACTTACGTTTGAATCAGCCTTTCTATTTGCCATTGCCTGAGCCATAATGTTCTTAAAGAATGCAGCAGTTTTATCTGGTATTGCTCCAATCCCAGATTTTACAATTAATGGGGCAAGAACAGGTACCACGATAGCAACTGAAATAAATTGGATATTTTTTATTTTTATAAAATCAAACTTTATTAATACAACTGGTAATTTAAAAGCTATATTTTGATACTGAGATAAATGATGAGAAAGATGTAACTTGTTTCTATTTTTTATATAATTGTATGGATGTAATGTAAAATAGAAAATTTCCAGAAAGAGTATGCCAGAGCACAAGGTATTTTGAAAAATTCCTCTTTACTACAGAAAACTGCATATGACAGAAGACTTGAAGGCAAGGAATATCCCAGAGGTCAACAAAGCAAACCCTGAAATGGAATGCCTACAAAGCAAACCCTGCAGATGAATCAGGCTGTTCTTTCTATTACTGTGCGCCTGGTTAATTTCGCGAGTTTTAATTTCGTGAATTTGTTGAAAACACAATTTAACGGCTATTAAATTTCACGAATTTCACAAGTTTAAAATTCATTATTCTCGGATTTCATGAGCTCTGTAAACTAATTAGGTGTATAGTAATTGCACTGATGTCATATCCAGATGAGATTTACAATTACTAGGATCTTTGTCATCGGCAAGCTGCCTATTGCATGGTCAATTTTGGTGGGCAATCTGCGCGAGATTCGATTTTGAGGTTCGGTCTTTGCACATTAAATCAAAATATTTACACCCATGCGCATATGGATATCCCAATTATCGCCAAATAACACTAGACAAAACGTTTTACAAAAAACGAATTGCATCATGGCCCTGGGTAATAACAAATATCCGTGGATTTAATCTGCAGTTTCGCGAAGATAAATTTTTGCGATTTTACAACACTCACGAAAAGCGTGAAACTAAGTTACACGCGAAAAATACCGGGCATACAGTATTTTACATTACATGCATACAATTAGATAAAATACAATTACAGAAATTTCAAGTTTCATCTTTCTTATTATTATCTCAGTATCAAATATGGCTTTTAAATTACCAGTTGTATTGACCCCTTTTTAAAATTAGCTTTTTAATTACCAGTGTTTTAAATAAATCTTCTTTTTTAACAATTACATTTCCAATTTTTTGATCATTTGTAATATTTAAATAAATTGAATATAATGAACAGCATCCCCAATCTTAAATATACCAATTAAAAAAACATGTTTCACCAATATCATACGATACTAGCACCTGATTTATTCAAAGGGATTTCCAGCAAATGTATTTGTTTGCATTTTCTTTGCTGAGAGAATATGATTTTAGTTATACATCACTGACATCTTTATTTATAAAGACTATTCTAAATCCATAATAAAACTTCAAACAAGATCAAGAATTTCTCTTATCAAGGATAGTGAATTCATTCTAGACCTTTAACAAGATCTAGAATTTCTCTTATCAAGGATAGTGAATACATTCTAGACATTTAAAACTACATTTTGAGGATGACATACTAAGAAGTGCAGTTCCTCGAACTACTCCAAACTTAAAGAATTCAGCAGTATGTGGAACAAACTCAGACTCTGGATTATTCTGAACCTGTGCATCTATTCCAAATCCAACCGCTGCCACCATATCCAATGCACATTTTCCCACAAGACTGGAAAAAGTAAATATGTGAGGCAAATATTTTGAATGTCATTATGAAGGAAATCAGATAGGAATTTAAGAAAACAGGCATTATGATATATATGTAATATCATGATGCGAAAACATCAAGCAATTCATTAACCTCTTGAATCCAAGGCTCTAAAATTGGTTGAAACCAGAGAATTTTTGCCATTTTACTAGATACCTATACAACTTTAGATGTTCAACTAGAAAAATTAGACGGCGTGGATTATTCGTTCAGATTTTAAGTCATTGTTGTGTAAATTGGAAAAAAATTGTTCAAATAAGAGCAATTTTAGTGAAAAATTTTGTCTATTGGTTTCAAGATTATTTCTGAGGTGACGAGAAATCTCGTCACTCTGGGTTTCAAGATTATTTCTGAAGTGACGAGAAATCTCATCACTTCAGCTAGTCAAGAGGTTAAAAGCTGTGACTAGCATTTATACACAAGACATCCTTAACATGACCAAATGTCACCACCTATGAATTTGAAACATATGCAGTTATATAGTTTGTTAAGTGCGTGGTAGTAACAGGAAGACAATACTAAAATTTCCTAATTACTCTTTGAATTCAAACATCTCATCAGCATCTGCTCTTTCTCCCATTTTTTCCAACAGGGTTTTGGTATAGAGGTTTAAACTATCTATCATCTGTAAACACATACAAATAATGATTTCATAATCTGTAGATTAACAAATTCATTCTTATAGTGAACCCAGCCCTGATTGTATATTGAACTCTGACTTTATTAACTATGTAGTACCACAAGGATCTAATTAGGGCCTCCTCTAATATTGATTAATTATTTTACAAAAATAACATTAAATTAAGAATCAATGTGTTAACTGACTACTAAAATGAGAGTTTTTAAAAATTTACCCTTTTAATCTTGCCACTGGTGAAAGTCTGGCTCATTATGCTTCTTGTCTTCTTCCATTCCTCACCAGTCAACTCTGTCAACATATTGCTTACAGTTGGTCCAAGTACTGACGGCAATTTCTGAAACAGAAATATTGAGATACATCATAGTATGCAAAATGCTAGCCTATGAAACAAATAGAGAATAACACATTTTGGGATCAACAGCCTGTACTATCCCTTGGAATTCACAATTATCTGTAATATTTGTTCTAAATTAACTGCCTCTTAAATAATATACATACTTACTCTTCTATCTTGGAAACTTGAGAATTCTTTGACCAAAACAGTTTTAAGTAGATCTCCATCAGCAATAGCTAAATTAGGAGTGCTCCCATCAAATAAGCTGCAAAACATGAAGGGAACTTTTTTGCATTGAGGGTCTGTCTCGATAGGGTATTTGGGTTCATATTTAATAGTACCCCTGACACTAACTCACTTGAGAAAAATATAATATCCATTAATTATTCTTATAAAAGATGACCAATGGATCACTTTGAGGGTTACCATCCATAGTTATGACAAATGCAATCATGATATGAAACTGTAATAAAAATTGAAAAATTTGTCATTCCCTGAACAAGATGAGGATTTCTTTCCAGCTTTGATATTTAAAAAGTTTTTTGCATTGTACATAATTTTTTTTGTTATTTATGATGAAGAGAACAGCTATTAGCACTTTAATGTCTCTAGTGAAACTTCCATAATTCAAATGACTTACCCATATACTTTGTCTTTCTTATAACGTTCATATAACATTGTATCTCCATTTATCATGCCCTGTAAAATTATATCATGGTTGTATTGTGTATACAAGCATAAATGATTGATAGAAGGAAGACCAATCAGATGTATGGTTAAAAAGGATATAGATTTAAGATTCAGTCACAAGACCATGGAACAATCCATTCATACTGAAGTCATCACAGAACATGTGGCAGCTAGAACAATTAAAAAAGAAAACCAATTTTCTAAAACCAAAAATAGTAGTCTCAAATGATGTGGGAGACAAAATTCATAAAAGTTTCAGATGATCATATTTCATGAAACTGTTGTATAGGGTTACCTTCGATAGTGATGGCCAAAATGTGCCAATTATTGGAAATGGAGTAGGTCCTTTAATACCTTGTGCTGACCAATAGCCAAAGTTCCATGTAAGGTATCTAAAACAAACAATTTATACCAATTATTTATATTGCATACTTAAGGCGGGGAACACTGTTCTTATTTGTTTCTTTCCATGATTTCTTTATCTTTAACCTTATCACATTAATCTTAACTCCAGCACTAGTCAGAATGTCTGAACACCATTCAGCTGTTCACACTGTAAGAAGGTCAATAATTTATGAGAGTTAGATGCTTTAATCAATCCTTCTAGTATCTGGTATTATGCATGATAATGATAATAATCAGATACATGAAATAAGGACTAACTTACATGTAGAGTGCAGCTAGTACACCTACTATGATCAATAGTGTATCTGAGACATCAACTAGCCCAAGAATATTCATCTTCACTCTGAAAAAAACACAAAAAATATGAAGAAATGTTTTTCATTTCAGGTGTCCCTCATTTTCACACATGAAATTAGTGTGAATAATATTGACTATTTCATTGATTGTTGGCAACTGACTTCATGGAAATGACATAAAATTCCATCATGTGGATCAACAACATGAAGCATAATGACTTCCTGATAAACCATAATCCTTCCAAGTTAACAGTATGTTGATTTTTGCAAATCAGAAAGATGAGATTGGGGTCAGAATTGCATGATTATAAATATATATTATAATGTTCATGTTGGAATAATTTCTATATATCTGCTATATATATGTACAGGTAGAACTTTTTATTGACATATAGTCATAAAGTATTGTCTATAATCCTATGAATGTTTAGTGAAGTTATGACTAAAAATGAAGCTAATGTATGTGTAGACTTACTCTTACTGTAGTCCCTTTCAATCACACAATTTGTTGCAGCTTTATTCTCTGATCTTGGCACCTCACTCTTGGGCCACTTAAGACCAATACAAGTCACAGCTATATATAGACTTACCTTCAATCCTATCCATGTACAGTGTACAATCTTACTTGGTGATTCAACACATTTATCTCCAATGTATATTTGTAGTTTGCTTTTCGTATTTAATAGATTGCAGTAGATCAACTGTAAACAAACTGAATACTCACAGAGGCCAATAATAAGAAATAGAACCTATTCAATATAAGCAGCTTGAATATGAGATTTGTGTATGTAATTAAACAAATGCCAAGTTCAAAGCAGAGTTCACTGTGAAACCCTGGCAAACTAAGATGAAAATGTAATTGCCACAATTTACCAATCCATTGCCCATAAGGCAACTCAAGTTCATTGTCAAGAGCAAAAAGTGGTTGCTATTTCCAACCCTGGTCCAAAATTCAACAAGGTTTGCCCCTGAGATCAGAGGATGGAAAAATGAATCATTAACAAATACTCAGAGGATGGAAAAATGAATCATTTACAAATACTTTGACAGTGACAATCGTAAGAAGGCATAGCCTGCAGTGGCATGATGACATCAGCAGAGTCCCTCATATATCTAATGCATGAGCAGGACTCTGATTCATCAAAAGATAAAACATGTTCTTAGCCAAGTAAATCAGTACATATGGGTAAATAAATTATTCACATTTGTAAGCTATATTTCATAGAAAACACTTATTTTCTTTGTGTTTCTTGTTTTTATATTGAAAAGTAATAACTTTATTACTGTTTACAATATTCTTTCTTCTTGTTTTACAAATTAGTATTTCAATACCAGTTCTTCAACTCGACAATGGGAAGAACTGCTCTACCTAAGTGACTAATATGTCATTATATGACATCTAAAGAGTCAATAAAAGATATATAAACCACTAATATCATACCAATATATACACTTGAATTATTTGGGAGGGAATTCTGTATGGTCACATTCAATTCAATACATTATCAGAACAATTGCTTGCATTATGAAATTATGAATGAGATCACTTTTCATCTACTACTTCAACAAGTAGAACATGATCCCAGAACAAAACCCTGCAGAGATCAGTACAAGTCTCTTAAACATTCATTCATATTTTACTTGGACCTACAATTAACTAAACAATATCTGAAACTTAATTACAGGGTTGAAATTTTCAAATTATTCAAATTTATTTAAGTGAATCTTAGAGATTTTCATCTGCTTTTATGTATTCTTACTGAGTTGATGCCTTAATGTTATAAATTTACCACTTTTAGTGCTTTTTCTCTTTTAAAACTCTATAAAACTTGTCCACATGGAAAAAACAAACAATGGTTTTATCTAAAAGAGGCAATGCCTTTAATACGAGGGGTGATCAGGAATTTCTGGACCGTTGGCTCTATTTTTGCCATTTTTTATCCTTTCTTGGTGATTTGTTCACACAATATAACCCAAATATATAGGATCACACCAGGACGAGCTCGGAAAAAATACCAAATTTGAAAAATCAACAGTAGTTTATATGATGTTTTGACACTTTATTCATTGCTGAATATGTTACAAACATATAAAAGGTTGTATTATATCACTAAGTATATTCATTAATGTTCATAGTAACTGTTATTATTCTTCCATCAATTATAATCCTCCAAAGTGATTACCAGCACTTTGTAAACATTTGTTTACATTTGTAATGCTTTTTCACCCATTCCTGGAAGATGTGATACAGACCGTCTTTGTCTAAAAAATATGATTGTTTCCATCGGTTGTGGTCGTGTTCCACACACACCGTATTCCCCAGACTTAGCTGGCTGTGATTTCTACCTTTTCCCAACAGCGAAGACCAAATTATGAGGTATCCACTTTGAGGACAGTAATGAGGTCATTCAGGAATTCACACACCAATGTTACAAAGTACTCGAAGACTTGTATCCTGTATCACATCTTTCCGGACTGGGTGAAAAAGCATAACAAATGCTTACAAAATGCTGGTAACTACTATGAAGGATTAGAATTGATGGAAGAATAATGAGTTACTATGAACATGAATATGAATATACTTAATGAAATAATACAACTTATACAGTATGTCACATATTCAGCAATGAATACAGTGTCCAAACATCATATAAAATTACTGTTGTTTTTCAAATTTGGTATTTTTCTGAGCTCCACCTTGTCGCGTCACCAGTTACCATGGTAACAAAAATAATAGAATAAAGATGTCATAGAACAATGAAATCTTCATGATGTGATCCTATATATTTGGGTTATATTATGTGAAAAAATCAGTAAGAAAGAATAAAAAATGGCAAAAATAGAGCCAACGGTCCAGAAATTCCTGATCACCCCTCATAATACCAGGAAAAAATGCAAAATAATTGTAGTTTTACAAGTGTATTACCTCTCTCTACAGATCATATTACTGTACAACAAAATTCCTTCATTTTTTATCTTTGCCATATTAACTATTTATTCCAAGAATACTTCAAGGCACATCTGCACTATATTCAAGCCATTTATCAATTTTATACAAATGTGTCAATACATTTACAATTTAACTTTCAGAATCAGACCCTAGAATAGTAAGCTTGTGTAATATTACAATTTTACAAAACATTTTTCACAAATAACTAATTAATGTACATATACCTCTAATATAAGAAAAATATATAATCTGATAATTAAACTGCATGGCTTTGTTTCACATTATACAACAGGACACTCATTATACCAAAATGCAATAAACAGAATGGTCAAACAGGGTTTACATATTTGACCTCAGGGGCCATAGTGCATTATCTCTGCATATTGCATTTTGGACTAATAGGATGTATACATACAATCAGCCACCTTTAAATTCCCAACAATCTTCGTAGCATGCCAAATAAAACTGTTCACTAGATGTCACTTTCATTTCTATGTGCAGAAAGGCATGCAAAGCATTATGGGAAATTCAAATGTGGAATATTTGAACATTTCTATTTCAAAATTACATGATAATAAATACATTAATAACATAGGTATATTTATACAGGAAACCGGTGAATCAATCACTCCCTGAATACTGGTGTAATCAAAATAATTTCATTTCAGCTGCCTTTATCCTGTTTTTGCAGGAATATAAAAATGAATTGATTTATGTTGAGCATGCCCAGATAGTATTCTCCTCTGGCCTCCCATACTACTGGAATGTTTAAATTGTCCCTATTTTGGGAGCAAACTAATAAGTAATTTTAATAAGTAACTGAAAATATACTATTTTGGAGAAGATATTACACCAGTCTCAGTCTACACTTATTCATTTTTTATTCATACTGTACATATGCAACAATAATATATAAATAATGATCAAATAAATATAAAATCTACGTTAATCATTTTTTAATAAATATACAAAGGGTATGACAAAACTGATCTGAGCAAAAAAATAATGTAAAACTGTGACCATTTTTCAAAAATTTACCATCAGCTCCCCTCTTTTCTTTGTTGCCTCTTTAAGGGGTATGCTCTTCAATTCAATACAATTCAATTCAATGACGATTGGATTTAAGGTGAAAATATGACCTGATAAAAGTGAAATATGTACGTTAAATCTCCTTCTTGGATGCAACCATTTCTTTGCACAAGACAAAATAATATAAAACCTGTGTAATCAATATGCCACTGTGACTGGGAAATGATGTCCTCTTCAAGAGTTCAGATTAGCAGGTGTTCACATTTCAAGGTATCTTTATATGTGAATCAATGGGAGAATGGGGCCAAGAAAAAGTATTCACACTGAGAGAAGTTCACATAAGACAGGTGTTCGAATGTACAGGATTTGCTGTAGGTAATTCTGTAATTGGCCCATGTAAATAAAATATATACACAGTTAATGTGAAACTGTGTAAAAATGATACGGTAAATTGAGTTAATTTGGCATTTTCTGGATACCAGTGTCTCATTCCATTCTTAGTTCAATAAAAATGCATCAAAGATACACAAGCTGAAATAAAATATTGTCTTGGTCTGTTGGTCTTATCATGCAAGGTAGATCCACCTTATTCACGGTAATGCCATACCATAATATATATACAAAATTTGAAAATTATAAATGTGGATATATACTTCCTTTAACATAATATAATAGCTTCATCTCCTGATTAACTACACGTAGGCTCCGACACTTGGCGTAAAATGTCCCCCACAATACAAATTCAGTATATTGAGCACAAAATATCACTGTTATATTATATGGTACAGGCCCGTAGCCAGGAGGGGTTCGTAGAGTTCGGGCGAACCCACCCCCTGGCTAAAAATTCTTTCAAAATCATGCAGTTTTTCACCATTTGGAGCACTTCTCAAGTGATTTTAGCCATATTTGGGCCAAAATTGTCAAATGTGAACCCCCCCTGGAAATTTTTGAAAACTGAACCCCCTTGGCAAATCCTGGCTACGGGCCTGTACTATAACTTTTTCCAAATGGTTCACAGTGTTCCAGATGAAATAACTTCTAGCCAAGAATTGGCTCATGGGCAAGAGACTCGAGTAAACCTAATGTATTCTTCAATATAGATCCATTTCTCATTTCTAAATATAACTTCATATAATTCATCATAACAAACCAATATTTACATACATCTGCAGTAAAATGGTATTAAAATATACAGGTACACAGCTGTACAGAAAATCTTACGTCAGGCAAATATTTGGTGCAAATAATCTATTGAGCAAATATTTCTAAATAGATGAACTAATGAGTGTAATTTATAGTGGTACATACATTTAGTATAACCTGTACAAAGACTAAGTGTAGCCTTAACATATATTAAGTGTAAGTGTTCATTTTACTTAATATAAATCCTGTATGTATACTAAGTGCAACATATACAATATTTATGTACAATGTACATACATGTATATACAATAAGTGTAAAATATACAATATATATATAGTATTATATACAATAAGTAACCTGTCCATAAATGAAGGTTACAAAGACATTTGGATTTATATGGTAGTAAACATGAATCATAGTCCTACAAGAAACCCTTCTGACTCTTTTCCATATGTAGACACCTCATATTAAAACAAGACCTGCTACTGAACATAATAAATGTAGCATTAGTTTTCATTTTTCAGAATTCCTATTGACATCAAAGTTCTGTTATTTGATGGACATGAGTGTGTTTTGTTCTTGGACATGAGTAGTGTGACAATTAGTAGCATTGAAGGGCCAACAAAGACTACAGTATGACATTTCTTGAAAATTATTCTCAAATGGCCATATGGAAAAAAATATCAGAAATGTCATACGAGATATTAAAAAAATTGCTATTATACATGTATACATCCTCCGATCACAGGGCTTCAAAATCCAGAATATTTTCTTTCTTTTTACCCCCTGCTTTAACCAAGTTGGACGCGCCCGATTAAACTGAATCACGTGATCTAATTATGTGCCGACGACATATACATGATTGCTGTCGCAGTGTTGCGACAGCCAATCAAATTGCGAGTTCTTAATCGGGGAAAATGCTAACTGCTTATAGCAGGGGGAAGAAGGAGGTACGGATTCTGGACACCTGCTTAGGAGGATGACATGTATATGGATGCTAAAATGGCACTCAGAATACTTGGACATATATTTATATTTTAACTGGCCATGTTAAGGTGTCTAAGGAATGTTTTTTTCACACTTCAATCCCACAATACTTTAAAAGGGAAGGTCTCCTATAATTAAATGCTGAGACTGTTATGCTATATCCTGTAACCTGGCACCCCTTAACATTACCATCTTTTACCCAGTCTCTTATATCACATCCTTCTTCCTGACATCTGTCAAACCTCTGCTCTCCGCCAAACAGAAGACCACATTGATATTAATTAATTAGTATTAATTATTAATTAATACAATATAACCAACATAACATTTTAGTATGACCACTGTGACATTTAAGTATGATCACTGTGACATTTAAGTATGACCACTGAACTGTGACATTTTAGCATGACCACCGTGCCATTTTAGTATGACCATTGTGACATTTTAGCATGACCACCGTGGCATTTTAGTATAACCACTGTAACATTTTAATATGGCCACTGTATGACCAATGTGGCATTTTAGTATGACCACTGTGACATTTTAGTATGACCACTGTGACATTTTAGTATGACCACTGTGACACTTTAGTATAATCACTATGACATTTTAGTATGACCACCGTGACATTTTAGTATGACCACCGTGACATTTTAGTATGACCACCGTGACATTTTAGTATGACCACCGTGACATTTTAGTATGACCACCGTGACATTTCAGTATGACCACCGTGATATTTAAGTATGACCACCGTGACATTTTAGTATGACCACCATGACATTTTAGTATGACCACTGTGACATTTTAGCATGACCACTGTGGCATTTTAGTATGACCACCGTGACATTTAAGTATGACCACCGTGACATTTTAGTATGACCACCATGACATTTTAGTATGACCATTGTGACAATTTAGTATAACAACCATGATATTTTAGTATAATGGAGATGGAGTTTGAAATAAATACAGGAAAAAGAATCAAAAATTACTCAACAAAATCTATCATCAAGCTGTATCCAATTTCTAGACAATGCCACAGGCTGTCAGACATTGCACACTGGTTAAAAAAAGGTAATTTTAATAATATGTCACCATGCTAAATCTAATTGTTCACAAAACAATTACAGTAACTTCCCTTGAAAAAGATATTGCGGTTACATAATATATGATATATATGATGAAGCTTAAACTACATTCATATTTACTTTATAAGGGGGACGGGGTCTATGAAATAATGTATTAGCTATAAGGCCCTACAAAGCATAAGGTATAAGCCCCCCCAGACTAAAATTTCCTTCCACAATATTGCATAAGGTACAATACATTTAAGAGTCCCCGAAAGATCCTCTTTACATCCTGATGATTCGATGGCCAAATTGATTTCCTTTTAGTTTACATCAATCAATCATCACATTAATCATACAGTTCGCAAACCAAATAGATATTTCCTCCTTTCTAAAACCATGATGTAAACACATTGTGAGATCCCATATTCCATCGTCTCTTTATGGGAACGTGTCTAATTGTCATATCGAAATAGGTGGAGCAGTAATAATTTTCATTCATTTTAGCATTTGAATGTAAATGTATATGTATCTTCTCATCTAGCCAGTTGAGCATTATTCAAATTTCACATTCACGATACATTGGCATCACAAGCTCAATCACATGTTGAAAACCTCGTAAAATATCGGTGGAAAATTCACATCTGCATAATCTGTTTTTATACTCTCGACACATTTATAATTTAGATGTGCCAGTTTTCGAAGTTCTGTTAGTAGCCCGACTATTTTGGCAAAGAATTGTTTCTCTTCTGGGTGGTTTTTCTGGAACAGAAACTGTTCAAGTTCAACTAGTTCGTAGAAAGCCACCTCTGCAGCTGCATAATCAGTCAGTTCACATCGATCTGGAAGAAAGACAAATTTTCAAACAAAATAGTCGACTTGATATTTCCATAGTAATATGTAATGGGTGTCGACTTTTGGCAATCAACCGAAGATACCTCAAGAAAAACCGGAGATTGCCGAAGCTTTTCTTTGCAAACGAAGTTGGCCGAGGGTACCACGAATGTGAAGAGGACGCCTCTAATTGGTCAAAAATAGAGGCTCGGCATTCTCCGTCAGATTGAATCGGCAAAATTTGGTTGTATGGCTTACCTTCGGCTGCATGGCCCAACCTCGATTGATTGAAAAAGATACTGTCCCAATATGTAATTGCCGAGTGGACAATTAAAAATTACATGACATGAAACTGACCTCAAATATTCTATAAGTACACAGTACACTCAAAATATGTGACATCACTCATTTGTCAATTTAAGATCGGAAATAATACTTATAGTTTCTGACACCAAATAAATACAATCTTATGTGGGTTGAGATCTACATAATCATTTCTTATGATCAAATCCATAAGCAGGCAATATATCTATATAAGTGGATTTAACTTTATATGGGGCATTCAATCAATTTAAAAATTGAGAGAGGTGTGAAATATTTTGTTAACTTTTAATCCCATGGTACTTTTACAACCAATCAGAATACTTTGATTCTAGTTATTGTATACTATATGACTTATGAGAATCTCTTCTCCAAACATGATGAAAAAAAATGTTATCAACATTTAAGAGGACACAGTATAGTACCTGAATACATAATGCAAATGGCTTTCAAAACTGCAACCTCATCTTGTTCAAGCTTCATCTTTTGAAACTTTCCCCCTAGGAGGAGCATTTCCTCTACAAATTCTCTGTCCCAAACCTTGGCAATCTCTTCGACGTGTAGGATTCTCCCATGTAGAGAGGTTAGGCAGTTCAGTTCTGGAGACATCAGTTTGAAGAGTGTCAGAAACCAAACTTCAAATCTGACTACTACAAATAAATAAATAAAAACAAGGCTTGATTGTACGATTTCAAAATCAAAAAGGATCGCCCATAACTCCTGTGCTCACATTGACCTGTGTTATCAAAATATGACATTTCATGTTGAATTACTAGATTTTCTTGAAAACAAGAACACTCGAGAAAAAGGTGACGACATGTCAAAAAACTCAAACTTTTTTGTTCCTTTCTACTAATTCTTGAATGAAATAAAATGTCTTTCCAAACCTTGTTGGAACAAAATAGCATATACACAGGGACACAAAATCCATCTAGATGAAGGAATTATGCTCAAATATTTTGACCCAGATGTCTGTTATACAAAATACTGACTTAAAGATGCATTATGCCATAGGTTTCTCTCCCAGACAATCAATGATGTCCTATTGTTATTGCTCATATAATATCTCACATACCATATATATATCTTGAAAATAACTTTTGGGTATATTATTGCCGAAATATCAGAAATAATCAATAGAACAACCAAACTCCAGAATTAAACACAATCGATTCCTCGGCTAACGAGGGGGATTCCCATTGAGTCACACAAGCGCCTTGAACCAGGCAGCCAATCAGGTTTATGATAAACAAATTCAATGACCAATCTAACAGGAGGACTTTCCCGGTATATTCAAACTTCAGATTGAATTAATTTCTTGAAAATAATTAGATCAGCCAGCACAATCGCAAAATTTACACTGAAAGAGGGGGATTTGGGACTTCATCTTTGGTAAGTAGATGGGTATATATGTGGTGAAACTCAAGATGCAAAAAAGTCCAGAGGGGTCTTGATTGTGCTATCCTATGGCATAGAGCCTCTTTAATGCATCATGATCAGACAATAATGGACATGTACCTTGAACAGAGGACGAGGTGGCCCATAAATTATACCTTTAATCAGCATTGCCTGGTCATCTATGTGGAGGGTTGCAAATCCAGGAACAGCTTTTGCAAACTTAATTAAACGTTTAATTGGGTTTTCCATTTTCTGGAAGAGCACTTCAACTAAATTCCTTCGGCCATCTATATCAACCCCTGTTTGCCTGTAGTAAGCGTGATATTCCTGTTTTGAAAGCGGATCACCATGTTTTTTTGTTTGCTCCATAAATGCCTCCTGTAAAAAAATACAGCATTCAATATAATTTGCTAAAAAAGTTTATTCATTTCAAATCCCAAGTGTTTGTAACTATGACACAAATACCATGCGACAAGACACAATACAATTTATATGAATGAATGATCTTCAATTTGAACTGAACACAACAATGACACCTCTCAGAAGAAAGGACTTGGCTCTATTATCATTACGATGAACAGGTTTGGTAGGCATATAGTGATGCCCCCTCTCCATCTGTCAATCTCTGTGTCTGTCATTCAGTCAATCTGCTCTTCCGTCTGAACAATAACCAGAGAAATACTCGTGCACAGATTTTTTTCTTTGATTTTGAATCACTTTTTGAAACTTTGTGAAAATCAAAGTTTTTTGTTCTAAACTAAAGTTATGGGTATTACTTAATGTTAATTACTTTTACATGTAATGTTAACAGCATTTAAATTGAATGAATTGAATTAAGTACTGTAGACCATATATATCACAGAAATGTCTTTCAGATTGTGCCTCAAGAGCCAAAATGGTTGTTCAATTCTACACAAATCATAGGTACTTAACAGGAAATTACAAAACTGATATTACCTTTTAGATCAAATAATTACATTTACTGTGAATGAGTGTAATAAAGGAAAACATATACAAGTTAAATGGCTGAATATTCAGTATGACCCACCACATATATTTTCTGTTTTTCCTTGAAGTTTGCGAAAGGATCCCCTCCATCTATGGATAAAGCCTGTCGAGTTTCATTGGAGATTGTCAGTAGGTCATGTACTATTTTCTGGTATTTGAGCAATTTCCGACTTGTTTGAATATTGTGTTCTCGCGAAGCGCCTTTCCGTTTAAGTCTCTTAACTTCCTGAATATCCTGTGCCTTTTTCTCATGTGTATAACGTCCTGTCTTGATTGCTGGAAATACACAGAAGAAAATTCAATGGTACATTTTGAAATAATTATTTTTTAGAGTTTTAGAGCTCTGTTGCGCAATTGAAAACAAGGCATTAACAAGCAAAATGTCAACACCTACCATTTTTTACAGGTGCTGACTACAAAACACCAACCACCAAATGCCAGACACCAAGCAACAATGACCAAACACCATCCATAAAAAGTTTGAGACTATAACAATATAAAATAAGCCACACGGTGAACAGAATCACACCCTTGAACAGAATACACTTTTCGGGATGGAAAATTCAACATTTACCCAGACTGCCTAAAAACTAATCAGTTCTAAACTTTCCATAGAAACATCTCTAAAATTTTAGGATGAATCCATGAAACCTGTAAACAACCCTCAAGAGACACGTTTTAAGGTATTACTTCACAGTGTATCAGCTTTTTTTCTACAATTCAGATTTTCCTGAAAAAATCCTGGTAAAAGATATACTGATGTTGACCATTTAGTTATTTCTAAAAAAAATGTTTTAATTTAACATTGCTCTCAATGGGAAATTCTTTTTTATTTTTTAAAACAAGCCTTCACAGACACGATTTTAGGACAAAAATCCAAAATGGCCGCCTTAACATTTACCAAGAATGCCGAAAAACTAATCAGTTCGAAACTTTTATAGGTAGAAACATCCCTGAGAATTTCAAATGAATCCCTCAAACGGTTTGGCTGGAAACCTGTAGACAAGCCTTGACAGACAAGATTTTAGGAAGGAAAATCCAAAATGGCCGCCTTAACATTTACCCAGAATGCAGAAAAACTAATCAGTTCTAAACCTTCATAGGTAGAAACATCCCTGAGAATTTCAAATGAATCCCTCAAACGGTTTGGCTGGAAACCTATAGACAAGCCTTGACAGACAAGATTTTAGGATGGAAAATCCAAAATGGCCGCCTTAACATTTACCCAGAATGCCGAAAAACTAATCAGTTCTACACTTTCATAGGTAGAAACATCCCTGAGAATTTCAAATGAATCCCTCATACAGTTTGGCTGGAAACCTGTAGACAAGATTATTCGGGACGCCCGCCTGACAAACTGGTTACACTATAGCACCTTAGGGTGCGATAAAAAAAAGATACATAGTAAACAGAATCACAGCCTTGAATAGAGTACAGTTTTCGAGACGGAAAATCTAAAATGGCTGCCTTAACATTTACCAAGACTGCCCAAAAACTAATCACGTCTAAACTCTCATCTGTAGGAACATTTTAAGATGAATCCATGAAACCTGGAAACGTGTAGACAAGCCTCATCAGACAAGATTTAAGGACAGAAAATCAAAAATGGCCACTTTAACATTTATCCAGAATGCCCAAAATCGAATCAGTTGTAATGCACCATTCAAAAGTTTGCGTGAGACCCCCCACGAGGGCATAGGTGGGGAATTTGACAAAAAAATTTTGCCTGTATAATTCCCCACCCCGAGGCCATATAAATGTGTCAATTTACCTACCCTTGGAGCAATAAATCTGGTCAAATATTTGCGACCCCCTGGTCCTTCCAACATTTGAAATCTATTTTTAAACATCAGATTTCCTTGTTAGTAGACTGATGCTCGTGAATGTTGAGGGATACACACGCAGTACTTTGTTTATGTCAATGTTTTAATTAGAGACACCATACATGGTCATAAAAATCAATTTTGAATTAATTATAAATTTAATCATATATATCAAATCAATTAAATTATGATGAGCTTATAAATATAAGTGGAACGCGAAAGTGCATTTTTCCGAAGGGAGGGTGAAAACAAGCTTGAGAAACCAATAATTACGACACTGCTCAGTATTCTAGAATTCCTCTCTCTAGCGGTTATTCTCAGCGATTCCACCCCAGAAACTATACCCAACGTGTAGATGAGTTATTTTCTTCTGTTCCCGAAATGAGGGATCTTTAGTTCACTGAATATACCAATCATTTGCAAAATCCTAAAGTGTATACTGGACAAAACAGATTGAGTCAATAATCCCCATTCCCGGGCACATGTAAATCAAATTCCCCATCCCCGGGACGACAATCTTCGTCAAATTCCTACCCCTGGGGGCAATGTTGTGTATCAAATTCCTTACCCTCCCCGCATGGGGGGGGGTCTCACGCAAACTTTTGAATGGTGCATAAACTTTCAGATGAATCCATGAAACTGTTTGGAATGGTGCATAAACTTTCAGATGAATCCATGAAACTGTTTGGCTGGAAACCTGTATACAAGCCTGGATAGAGAAGATTTTTGGACGGAAATCCAAAACGGCCACCTTAACATTTACCCATAATGTTAAAATACTGATCATTTCATAATTCTTAACTTTCATACGTAAAAATTTCAGATGAATCCCTGAAACTGGAAACCTGTAGACAAGCCTCGACAGACTAGATTTTAGGACGGAAAATCCAAAATGGCTGTCTTAATATTTATCCAGAATGCCGGAAAAACTAATCAGTTCTAAACTTTCATAGGTAGAAACATCCCTGAAAAGGATGAGTCTGGGAATGAGTCTGGGTATCGACTTAGAAAATATTGAAAATTGTAATGTTTGAAAAACCAACTCATTCACACATATTCTTAAACTTCAATATCTTATCCTTCTTCTGAGATTACAAAATTATCAATTCGTATAACAATTGATGAAGAATATTGGCTTCAAAGACAGTGCATATCACTTTGTCAGAATTGAAAAAAAATCAATGGCAAATATTAAATGAATTATTTATACAAAAAGTTTGAAACACATCCTCCAAAACATTGCTTATTTTCTTTGTATAGACATTGAATGGTATTTCTGGATAAGTGAATTTGTGTTTATCTGGGTAATCAAGGGATTATAGTCACTCAAAGTTACTGAGCATCCAGTTTTGAGACTTCAATTGTGTTGGTGAAGTTACACATATTTCAGTCAAATTCATGCTGAGCACAACATTTTGGTTTCAATTTTATAATCCCTATACATGACCCTGGTGATGAAGAGTCAGATTCAGTCAAAAACCCAAACCGGAAAACTGTGCTCACCGTGAAAACTAAAAGTGAAGCAACTTTTTTTCTGATATTTCTTACATCAAATGGCAGCCATCTTGTTTTTCCCCCTTCAAATTAAACTGGCGGGAAATTCAAAAATTTGAAAAAAATTTTAATCCTTAAATATATTTCAAAAATATGATTTTCTTTTTAATTCTTCATGGGTCTTAAGTTATTTCTTCTTTGTATGTCATACATGTTGCCATTGGTGTTTTTTTTCTATGATAATGACTATTTTGTGTTTGTTAGGCTACTTATTCTGACTCTCAGCAGGGGGCTAATTATGCATCAAAACTCATGAAAAAGTAAATATACTTATCAAATATAACTAGGACAGTAATAAAAACCATATTTCACATACATTTGACTGAGGGACCAAAAGGGCATATACCCAGACACATCCTTTCAAATGAATCCCTGAAACGGTTTGGCTGGAAACCTGTAGACAAGCCTGGATAGACAAGATTTTAGGATGGTAAGTCCAAAATGGCCCCTTACCATTTACCCAGAATGCCCAAAAACTAAGAACTGTAGTTTTAAACTTTCATACTTAGAAACATCCTTGAAAATTTCAGATAAATCTCTCAATTAAACGGTTTGGCTGGAAACCTGTAGACAACATCAATTGGGACGCCCACCCACCCGACCGCCCACCCGCCCGGCAAACATCAAAATATAGCACCCAAGGGTACGATAACAATAAGTACCATGCAAAAAGGAATATTTGGATATTTTCGAAAGAGCTCAACATGGAAATATAGAGTCAATTTAGCTACAGGATTAAATGAAAAAGCACATGGTAAAACATGTGGCAAAACTATACAGAGGTGATATATATACACAATTATAATCAACATTAGCCAAATGCACATGGGTTAACATGTGAATTGTGAAAAAATGTGTCATTTTTTATAAACATACTCAAATCACACTCAGACATGAAAAGCTAATACAAGACATCATGAAAGTAAAGTTACAATATCGTTATAGAGATTAGATTGCATAACTACAAAGTGGGCCAAAATTTAAAGATGAATGATTCATATGATATATCTTAAATCATGCCATGCATTATGTATCATTTTAAAGATAAATCATTTCCTAACAATATGACACCATCCGATTATCCGATCCGATAATGAGCGACCAAAAATCAGAAAATGAAAATTCCAAAATGTTCCCCCATATTGCAGTCACAGCTGCACTCAATATGCTTGACCGAATCTTTAAAATTTATTTAGAAAATTGATAGTTGATTAAAAAGATTTATTATTCATGAATTTAAGATTAAACCTTTATAAATGTACCTCTTTTGAAGGTGCTAAAGTTCAAATTTCCCTCCATTTTCCACAATTTGAAAATCCCCAATGAATAATTTTTTGGTCGCTCATGACCCCTGGTGTCAATTTTAGCCTCTAACTCTTCAATAAAGCAACAGGTATCATGTTAGAAAATGATTTATCTTTAAAATGATATATAATATATGGCATGAGTTAACATTTATCATATGATATTAATCTATAAAGTTGGGTATTGTTTTTTGGCCCACCCTGTAGCAATGCTAAGGTGTAGCAAATCCCATCAAACAGTCATGGCTACCACTTTGAAAATGGTTTCCTATTAGCCAAATTGTCACTAGACAGTAGAATATGCTACGAAGTATTGACATATAAAATTTCAACAAAATCACTCCACTCCTTTTCCATTAAAACAACAATGTAAACTAATACACATAAAAATGGCTGCCATTTGTCAAGTTGGCCACTCAACCAAATTGTCATTAGACAGTGTAACATGATTTTCATTATTCACAAGTTTCAACAAAATTTTCTAGTTATAGCAAAAACACAGTACATGGTGTCATGACATCATCACTGCCATATACAAAATTCAAAATTTAAACAGTCGCCATTTCTCAATCTTTCTCACTTCAGAAATTGAAATGGGAGTTTTGGTCTCTCTGCCTAACAAAAAAATTGAAACACACGAGTGATCAAGGTACTAGTTCAAATCCTTTGTTTGCTGATTGTAAATCTATAGCCAGATAAATGTCAGACAATAATGACTATAGCTTGGTTGGAAAATATTGATGTTGCATTCAGGCTGCCAATCCTCCTTGGTTTACTGATTTTATTGGAGTAAATTCACAATCAATATGTCACATAGGAAAAGTAAGGTCACAATGGTCACATTGATCCACATTCTTTATTGCAAACCAATTCAACTTTGCGATATTCAAGTGTTTGTTAAAAACGTGTTAATAAAACCAGAGGCACATTAGGTGCACAATACATAGTCTACTTGAAGTGAACAACTCAATCATGCTTTTGAAAAATTCAAAGAAACTATTTTATGGTATGCAAGTCATTTTTAGACTGTAAATAATAAAAATATGAGTGAGTCATGGAACTATAACAATTTAAGGTTTCTTTTTACAGATACTGAAATTCTTTGAAGATGTACTAAATACTAAGAAACGTATAAATAATTAAGTTGAAGCACCACTATAAATGCAACCTATATTGGCAAAACACTAAAGGTGTGTTAACGTCACCAGTCATCATATCCAGGCCGAGAACTCTCTAGTTTATTGAACCCATTTTCTATTGGTTGAGAGAAACACACCATTAGATCAATTGTTCTGCTCTCAGACATTGATTTTGGATATTTCTAATATTTAACCTGATTCTTTTGAAGTTATGAAGAATAACTACAAATAACACACGACAATACATGTGTACCAGCTAATTAGCATGTTTATCAATTTAGGTATTTCGGCCGGCCGATTAAAATCATGTACACATTCTCAGGAGTTCACAACATCTGACCTCAAATTTGAGAATTGACCTTCAATTTTAACAAAATACTCAATCGGCCGAGCACAGGCTGATGAATCCGAGCACGGAGCAAATGTGACCTAGGCATAAGGGGAACACCCTATCCAAGTGATCCATTCCATGGCACTGGGTTTATCAAATGTAAAGAGAGCATCGTCTAGATCGGAGTCTCAGAGTAACTGCCAATTCAATTACCATATGCATGTATAATATAAGCATCCTTAAAATTCTTACCTGTTTTTGACATTCCAACAGAAATGCACTTATGATAACGACAGTAGGCACAAGCATTACGCTTCCCAGGCTCTATTGAACACTCTCCTTTATCCGAGCATTTATAACTCTCTTGACGTTGAAGGCTCCGTCGAAAGAAGCCCTAAAAATACAAAATACCATGTTTGTCATATGAATCTAAAAAACCTAAAAAAGTGTGGAATTCGAAAAGATTAAAAGAAAGACATAAGTCAATGCACTTAATTAAATTGAAATATTAAATGAGCTAAAAAATATTAGAAATAATAAAGAGACTGGAATATAACATTGCCTGGAAAAAGGTTTTAGCTTGGACACTGGAAAGGCATGTTTTAGTCAATAAAGCAAGACACAAGAGATCAAGAATCCTTACCTTACATGCCTCACATGTATTTACTCCATAATGGAAACCCGATGCCTTTTCTCCGCACACCCTACATGGTGGTAACATAGGGTCTAATGTCGGCAACTTTTGGTCAGGCGTTAGCTTGGTGTTTGTGGTTGAGATATCTTGTGTTGTAACAGCATCCCTTGCGACCATCTCAATTATTTGAGTATCACTGAGTGTTCCACCAAAGGCACAATTTGAGTTTAAAGAACTAGAGTCTTGGCTGTTGGTACTTTCCACTTTTACAGTTGATAGGTTAGGACTCTGTCGTGGAACATTGTGAGGTGCATATGATGTCAACGAGGGATCATTCTGCGAGACCATGTGATCACTACTAGATGGGGATTCGACTGGCTTATTGAATGGTATCACAGATTTAAAATATGGATCAACAATTTGAGCAGAGTCTTGTGATTCAAGGAATTGCTTATGTGGATCAGCTTGAGCCTGAATTTCAATGTCATCCTGTGACATCAAGGGTGAAAACTGGGAAATATTCAAATCGGTTTGTAGAGGCATGTTCTCAATCTGGGATATCATTGGTGAGACTGCAGTTTTACTATGAATCTCCTGTGTTGACTCGTTAACAACATTAGACTTCTGCTGCAAATCTAATGGCTCCATCTGTAAGTCTTTTTGGCACGGAATAATATCACTGTGTTGTGATGAACTACAACTGTATGGTGATGAATGGGATGCAATAGTATGACTGATGGATGAAAGCTGTGAAGCCCTTGATGTTTTATATGGGTCATAACATATAGACCGAGTTGCACTGTATGATGAAGTCGCTTTTAATGATGGAGAATCCCTCGATGACTTCAAACCTGTCAAAGAATCCTCGAAAAAAGTCCATTGCGAAATATTTCCATCTCCTTCTGAGGCCATTTGTGCCGTCACTGACCCACTTAGGAAATTTTGAGAACTGGATGGAACTATATTCGAACATGACACATCTGTATTGCTTATCCAGTTTGTATCTGCTGCCTTTTTATCTTTGAGCAAATCACTCTGTGATGCCATCCCTAAATCGGCACCTTGCATATCAGGTGTTCTTGAAATATCATGTGGAAATAATGATAATAAGACAGCTTGGTGATCTTGTTCGATATCTTCATCCGTTGAATAGCTGTATGGACTGGTATTATATTCGTTCAATGCGACAGCAATATCTGAGCCTATTACGTCCAATCCTGAAGCACAACCTGCCACAAGATCAGCAGCGTGTTGTTTGATAGAATACTCAGTTGTAAGCGGTAAGGAGATGCCTCCCCCTGAACTCTGGGATGGGTTCATCATCAGCATTGTTAATTAAGCAACTTGTAGCCCCAGCAGTTATGGGCATTACTTTTGTGATCTAAAATTACTTTTTTTTATGTTAAGCTCATACCCTTGTGGCAAATTACTGCCTGTCTCGTATTTCCTGATGTGGTAATAATGATATGTCCGTTCACAATCCCTCGCTAATATGGTCTCATTCTGAAAGCAAAAATAAAATGTCAATATTTGCTGTTTATGTTCAGAGAGCTACAAATACAACAAGCCGGTTCTATTTAGTTATAACTTGAAATTCTCTGATCACATACTGTAAAACAAGTTAATTTCCCTTAAACATATTATTTTTGTTACAATGCATTAATTAATTGTACATGCTACATACATACAGGATACACAAGATTCAAAGCTTTTTCATAGGGTAAACTTAAAAAAGTCCTTATCTAATGTTCAAGTTTAATAAAAAGGGTATCGAGTCAATGCCTCCCAAAACAAAGAGCTCTGAAACAACGATCATGTGGAAGTATTATATGGGAAACTCTTACAGGCCCTAGATCTCTTAATTGACTGAGTGTTTCATGGATAGTTTGCAAATAAATCAATACTTTTATAGGTAACTAACCGCATTTATATCTATTTATACCTCATCAGTTCATAACCTAGACGAATGTCAGGGTGACCATATCTCAGATGTACCTTAAGCTTCAGGGCCTAGTCATTAGGTAATTAAGAAATTACTTTTAATCAAAATATTGGAAACATGATAGTATAGTTAATAATTGTAACCCTGATACTTATAGCAAAATTCTGGCCTCTGATTATAGATGAAGTATCACTTAGACATGTGAAGTAGAACTCTACCTAAAATTATCAAATTTGAATTAAATCCATCAACTGGTATTTGAGTTATCGACATTATTTTATGAAATATGGTGGCCATTTTGAACTGAATGGCCATATTGGTACTTCCTTCTCAAACAGATGTCCTATACCAATGAGGGCATAAGACTATAATACTAGTACCTGAACCAAACCAGTATTTGAATAACCATCTCACTCTCTCTCAAACAAATCAAGGAACAAACGAATGGATAAACAGATGTATGGAAGGCTTCTCTATATATCACTATTGAGCTTTGTATGATTGGATTATTAAAGCAATTTACAATATCTTTCTTTACACGACATATGTGATATTCTCAAATGAAAAACAATACATGTATTTAAACCAAACAGCTCTGAGCTCTTGTTATAAATATAAAATGATGTCAATAACCGCAATTAGTACGAAATAAACATGAATATGTACAGAGAGAAATATAGCTTTAGAAACTACCCTGACACCGACAAGCTAGCAGTACTAAACAACCCTCTGAGTAGCTCATATGATTTTGCATTTGTGATGATGCTAAAATCATAATATACTTAAAAGCACAACATCAAAGCCTTTGAAATAGGAGTTCATGTATGAAATGAAATTACATTCATGTTTTGTGTATAGGCACACTGGTGATCCACTCGATTACGCTGGTTACCAAAACGGTTCGTTTTGGTAACAAAATGTCGGAACATCCGGAAGGTACGATTTTCTCGTTTCCTTATTTTACACGTTGTAGGCAGAATTCCCATGACATTTTTTCTCACAACGTGTATCAGTATCATATGTTTAAGAAATTGTACATATTTGCGACCAAATAGTTCAGAAGACAACAGAATCGTCGATTTACTTCCTCACTTAAGTTACATAAACGGTTTGGGTTAAAAGTGCAGATCTTAACTGATTTTCGAAAAACCGTTTATGTAACTTAAGTGAGGAAGTAAATCGACGATTCTGTTGTCCTCTGAGCTATTTTTTCGCAAACATGTACATTTTCTAAAACATATGATACTGCTGCACGTTGTGAGAAAAAACGTCATGGGGATTCTGCCTACAACGCGTGAAATAAGGAAAAAAGAAAAATAGTGCCTTCGACGTTCCGACATTTTGTTACCAAAACGGTTCGTTTTGGTAACCAGCGTAATCGAGTGGATCACCAGTGTAGGCAGTTACCATTTGAGTATAGTAACTCATATTTTAAATGGATCATTGTTTATGCTATACTGATTTTGATTGGAAGATCAACAAATCAATTCTTAATATTCAAAGTGTAGATAAAGTTCTCTTTCAAAAACAAAGGGCAAACAAGAAATATTGTCAACATTGATTATAGATGGTTTCATTTTACAATTAAAAATATATGAGTATACTATAGAATGAAACTTCATTGCAACAAAGCCCAAATTAAATGGGTCAGAAATGCCTCTGGACATGACTGGACGGAACTGAATCAGTGTCTGATTCAAAAATAGAAATTGACTTTAAGAACTGCCCCCTATGTTTTGCAATAATCATATTTCATACTTTTTTAAATCAGGTACAATTAAGTATGATATTCCAAAAGTTCCAAATTTTGAAGGCAAGAAATCTGATTTGATCTGATCTGATTCAAAATCTATATCTGGATCTGGATATCACAACGAACATGTCAAGACCTTTCACCAAATATACTCCAAATATACTCCTGTATTGTATAATTCTGATTGCATCAATGCCCTCTCATCACAATAGATAAGTATTATAAGTAACAGACACGTGTCAAGTAAGTTTTTGTAAGTCAGTGGTGGCAGTAGTCATATAATTCTGTTAGTCATCATGACTCAGATAAACATTATATATTAAGTGCATTTTTAATTGTATTTTAACAAAAATGCATCACCTGTTTGAGCACTGTTGATGCCAATTGCACTGTCTGTATGAATGTCATTATATTAAGACTAACATTTCAAAGGGCGGGTGCCAATCTTCAATTCTTATTTTCAAAATGTTGCCTATTATTCACTTTTTTAAACTTAAAATTGCTGAATATGAATAATCAAGTGGTACAAACTTCATGATATTGATGTATGAATTGTTTATGTAATATCTGTTGTCCATATTAGTTTGAAAAATGGTGGATGGCGGATCACTATGTTTTAAGCTTTCAAAATTTTTCAGATTTATCTAATAAATTAGACCCATTCGATGCTAGAAATTCACTATTAAATGCTATTTGATCGGTAAGTAGCATTCATACATTCTATTTTCTTGATCAAACAATTGTTTAAATTTAACTTAAATGTCTTGTGGCACGATAGCTAAAACTTTGTGACATGAGTTGATTAGACTGTGGCCCTGGAATGAGTTGTGTATACCTGTAAATAATATGGCACTCCCAATTAGGAAGCCAATGAAATTTCTAAACATACAGAACTACCTTAATCCCATGTTGAAATGACTCTTTTTTAATTATATGTTTTTCAACATCTTGTCTATATACAAACAGTTTGTAGTGTTGCTAAGTCACCTAAGTTAAATATTTGCCTTCAACGTTAGAACAGGATTCAATTTATCAGGATATACTTACAAAAAATGAGTTTTTGAATAGCCACAAATAGATGGAATCATCATAGAAATATCACATCTCTCATCATATTACCTTACCTCAAGTTAAGTTACCTTTTACTGTAGCAGAAAGTAGTTCTGTAGTTTCAATTAACAAAGCAAGTAGGCAAATTATACTAAATATGTTCTTACCAATAGTACTGCTCCTGACTGTACACCTTGTTTTTGATAGTGACCAGATATATGTCTGATATGTCAAGAATTCAAACATATATTATAAGTGACAATTTATCACTCCCAACTACATATATACACCTATAGAATGTTTATCATGCACACAATATACCCATTCATTTATAAGTGCATGTGGGCCATGTCTATTTGTTAAAGAGCATACGTCATATGTACTTCAGGTCAATAACTGGGAGTATAAATATTAAGACCAATCTAAGCATTGAAGTGCAAATAATTGCATTTACATTTGAGGTCAATAAATGGGTATAAACACAAAATCAGACCATATCATCACAAGCACTCCCATTCTGAATCATTTTATTTCAAATATCTGACTCATGTTTCCTGCCTTTTTTTATTGAAATTTAACATATGTAATGGCATTGAACTTTTAAGTTTCAATCCTGATTCAACATTTAGAAATTAGTATAACTCTCACACCTACGCCAAGGAGGATTGGCTCCCAGGATCGAACTCGATATTTTCCATCAATGAAAGCGTCGAAATGTCGTTATTTTCTGAAATTATAACAGACTATAAATTCAAAATAAACAGTTCAAAAGATTTGAACCAATATCTCAATCATTTCTTGTGAGTTTTGGAATTTTTCATCAGAAAATAAGACCGAAATTCACGATTCAAATGTTGAAGTGTTGAAGCGGCTGTTTGAATTTGTATCACGACATGCCCATATGGGACAGAATATCGATGTTGCTACTCCTCTAGGAGCAAATCCTCCTTGCACCTACATACTGTTAAAATGTGTATAGCAATACTAATATGATGATGGTGTCACTAACTCGGAAGTTCAGGGTAACTGTGATGTAAGAAATCCTAATTCTTTGAATTTTTGACATAGCCTCTAAATTCCTAAATACTTCAATAGATAAAAGTGCCTCTCTAATAAATAATAATATGTGTATCAGTGCAGGGAGGTCAACTTCTGAACTACTTTTTCATTCTTACTAATAAGGCCTCTGCAAGAATAGAAGGATTTGAATCACCAGTAGTGGCTAATGACAGAGTGATAAGTATAAATGTTTTCAATTTCATCCTGTCGACATCCAGATCGGCCTATATTGGCTAGACTCGGGCATATTTGACGTCATAGTGACATACATGTAACCTCTAAATATAACCTTGATTCCATGACTATTAACTGCAGCACTAATGTATTACTTTATGCTATTACATTGACAAATGATAGCATGTTATCCAAGGTAAGAATTGAGTAATATATCGAGTAATATAACAGCCTTGGAAAATGAAGATCAAGGAGACTGGAGAAGGTCAATACTCTGTAATTAGCTATAATGATCAATACCCTTGTCCTTTCATTTGTTTATTTTTCTGGTCATCAACCTCTACCTGATTCTACTCTTACTCAAAGTCTCTAGACAAGCACTCGGTACACTGCATTCGTTCGACTTTGTTTCTTAAAAGAGAGCTTCGTCTTCACTCTTTCAGTTTACAATAAATCTCTGAACTCACCAAGCCATTCAGAGTTTGTTGTCAAAATACGGATGACTTTCCAAATATGGTAATCTTC